GCCCCGGAAAATGCAACCATCGCCGAGCACCCCGCATCGCTCCATGCGTTTCTCCATAAATTTCGCTCCAATTGTCTGTCTGCGTCCCTGGATTAGCTTCGACAGCGCCCGATCAATTGCCGGAGACCATGGCGCGGTGCTTGACGGCGGCGCAGATCCTCGAAATATTTATATTATGTGCGTCTCGTGTCCCGACGTCAATCAACAATGGCCGTGATGCGGATGATTTTGTGTTGAATCCTCTGTCCACCATACCATGAGGCCCTCCTCTCTCCTCTTCACCGCTGCCACTGCGGCGGCGGCTGCCATCTCGCACCGTGTCCGCGACTCAGCCCCGATTGCTGTGAGCGGGTCTGTGCCGGACAATGCGGGGGATCCGGTCCTGCATCCGTTCGTCTCGTTCTCCATCGAGTTTGCCTTTTTCCCCGACTATGCAGGTATGTTGTGCTGTGAGATCAGAATCGTAGACCCTGGCTGACAGAAGGAAGGAAACAAATCTCATCCGAACCTTTTCTCGAATCAATTGCTGGACAACATTGCGGCCCTCCAAGGCAGCAAGCCGTACATCCGCGTTGGTGGAAACACTCAGTATGAATGAAACTCCTACCCACTCTGCCCACCCCGTAGATTGCGATTGTTTAGCTTGCTAAGACGCAGCAGGGACTACGCGCTGTACAATGCCAGCCTGAAGACGGCCACCAACGGCACCTACATCCCCAGCATCTCGACCGACTACCCGCGGATTCTCTACATCGGGCCGTCCTTCTTCGAATCCTACTCCACCTGGCCCGACACCAAGTTCATTCACGGCTTCAACCTGGCCAAGAATGACAGCATCGCGTTGGACAGCCTGCTCGCTACGGTGCCCCTGGTGTGCAAGGCCCTTCAAGGGGGCAAGCTCGCGTACTGGGAGCTGGGCAACGAGCCGGACTTGTACAAGACCTCTGCGCAGGGCATCATGCGGCCGGCGAACTGGACCGAACAGGACTATGTCAATGAGTGGCTGAACAAGTCGAGGGCCATCCGCAATGCGATGGCGAAGGCGTGTCCAGAAATGGCCACGGACGCCGCTTACAAGTATATTGCGCCGTCGTTTGCGGGGGTCTCCAACAGCCTGCAGCCTGTCACTACGTGGAAGGACGGACTGGACACGGATCACGATATTGCGCTGAACTCGGAGCACAAGTGAGTGCTGTCTGTCTTTTTACGAGCTCAAAACTGACCTATAGCTAGCTATATTGGTGGTGCTACCCAGCCCGGCGTCACGCTGCAGGGCACCCTGATGAACCACACGTCCACGGTCAACAGCGTGAACAAACAAGTCAACCTGTCGCGGGTTCTGACGGAGGAGAACCTCACCCCGGGCATCCCGTACATCCTGGGCGAGACCAACTCGCTGTACAACGAGGGTGCGCCGGGCCTGTCGAACGCCTTCGGCGCCGCGCTCTGGGGCATCGACTTCAACCTGTACTGCGCGTCGCAGGGCATCCGGCGGACGCACATGCACCAGGGCACGGACTACCGGTACGCGTCGTGGCAGCCGGTGCAGACGAACAAGACGACCATCGGCACGAAGCCGCCGTACTACGGCAACATCTTCGTCGCGGCGATGCTGCAGGGCGGGTCCGACGTGCGGGTTGTCAACCTGCCTTTGCCGAAGGAGGAAGAGGCAGCGTACGCGGCATATGTGGATGGCAAGCTGGCCCGCATCGCCGTCGTCAACATGGTCGAGTTCAACTACACGGAGACAAAACCCAACGCGACGCGGCCGTCGGCGACTTACACGTTCCAGGTGCCGCCATCGTCGTCACAGAAGTCCCTGTCGGTGCAGCGCCTGCTGGCCAACGGAAGCAATGCCATCACGGGCATCACCTGGGACGGCTGGTCGTACAACTACGAGCTGCAGGGCGGCAAGCCGGTGCGCCTGCACAATGTCACGGTGGGCGAGAAGGCGTCCGTCAATGAGCAGGGTGTGGTGGCGATTGACGTGCCGTACTCGAGTGCGGTCATACTGAACGTTGAGTGAAGTATTTATTCCAAGAGGGTCATCCCGATATGTAGCTAGCTAGGATAATAAAATCGTCTCTCTTTATTTTTATTTAGGATCATTTAAACCGCTATCTATGATATGAGCCTTTAACAATATTTTTTTTGCAGTAAGCACTGGCAACGTAATTGTAAAATGTCCATCGAAATTTCCTAGGTAGTTAGCCGGAACTGAGTAATAATATTCAAACCAACCAAACTGTCAGCCTGTCAGAACTATGTACATGTACAATGCAAGAGTCGTAAGAAAAGACGGTGGTACTAGAATGGTAACAATCAAGCGATTTTTTTTTTTAAAAAAAAAGTACGTAAAAAAAAATCCCACGCATACGGAGTAGAGATCAGGTTTATAATTTTTCTCTCAATGCCAGTCCAGCAAAGCGAGAAAACCTATTAGTCTATTTCCAGGAAAGAATCTATCTACCTAAAGCTTCTCCACATTTGGATCAGTGTAAAGTTATTACTGCGAACAGCATTTCCAGTCAGGAAAATTCCTTCCAGGAGCTCTGCGTAATTACCCCTTTCTTGCCTTGCACATGCATGCGCCTAGGATTATGGGATATTAGCCTGGTCCAGACCCCGGGTTATGGGCTGGACTGGGTGCTTGACCCAGGGACATGGTTCTCCCTGGGCTGAGTTTTTCAACCAGCCAATGGCTGGGTTGGTATGAAAGATGTGTTGGTCACCCTACTGCCATGCGAGTAGGCGGGAAGAATTGCTGATCAATCAATACGGAGTATTACTCTGGAGTACAGTGAGAAATTGCTTGCGCTAATAAGTACTGTTTCATCCTGAACGTATCGCACGACAAGCGTAAATCATACGAGTAGGAGCAGTCGATGGCTCGATGCAAATTGCAATAGATTAGTGATCGCAGATATTTACAGTTCAATGAAAGCACGGCTAAGTGCATACATGTACTGTACTGTACATGTCATTCGAGCCTAGTGTCGTCTAGATCCAACAGACAAGGTATTATTAGTTCCGGATTACAAGGACGATGCAGTTATTTCATTTGTAAGGCTGGTTTGTTGAAGGAAAATGTGTCTCTTTAATACACCATTTCAGCATTAGTATCGCTAGGGCATGACAGATACTCAGTTGTTCCCCTCGTCATGTTGCTACTAGCATTGGTTAAGCTGTGGCTTGTAGACAATCCTGGGATAGGACGAGTACTAATTGATAATTGAATCCACGATAGGACCGACCAGAGCTAACTTGGCTACAGCTGCAGTGCCGCTGCTGCGCCGCATGCTCCACACTCCATACGAGCGAGTACCTATACGGAGTAACAACACATCTTATCGACAGCCTCTCCAATGAGAATGCATTTCCCCCGCCCTAATAGCACAAGGAACATCCCATCTGGAATCATCCCACGACGCAGGATGAGTCTGACGCGCCACCGCCTTAACCCGCATTTTGACACCGGCTCCACTTGCCGGGGACCAGGATAGCTCTTATTATCCCTGGACGGGGTGCGATCCTTGCCAATCTCGTCGCGGTGCATGGTCGAACGTTTGATGTTCGTGATCGCTTGGTGTTTTTGCTAATTACCCCGGCTAGGGGCAGCACTCAGAGGGGTTATGGCTGGACTCGATTGTAAAATAAAGGCTTAATGGATTCACTTTTGTTTTCTCCCTTCCCCTCTTCTTTCCCCTCTCTCTCCGCATTTGTTTAGTATCCACTGATCACATAGGCGTTTCTGACTAGGAATACGTTGTGTTACCGCGCAGTCAGCGAAGCTCTGCTGATCGTTACCCCTCATCTATCGACCATGGCTGAATCCACCACCCGGCCACGAGGACGTTCTCCGCCGAAGCCTGCAAACGGGACGGCGACAGAGACAGAGAGATTCGTCAATGCCACTACGGGGATCGTCGCTGATGTACGTGCATGTAAACTAGTTTTTCTCTCTCTTTTTTTCTTCTGCCACTGCTAATTCGTTAGGACGACTCCAACGAGTACGAAGAAACGATATGGTCCTCCTCAGATAGCGCGTCCATCGCATCCAGCGTGTTGAACTATCAGTACGAGAACGGTCGCCGGTATGACACGTACGGCCAGGTGGGTTGCCAGAGATAGAAATCTTTCTTTGCGGTCTGTCCTAACTAGTGGGGGTTTTTAGGGAAGATATATGTACGACGCTGCCATGTCACGCTGCGATCGATATTGAGATCTGAGTTAACTCACTCTTTGCCAAACAAGCATGCCAAATGATGAATGGGAGCAGGACCGGCTTGATCTGGTATGTACAGTGCAGCTAGACAGCTGAGCTGGACGATTGGGCTAATAATGCCCATTATAGGCGCACCACGTGTAAGTAATCCCATAGAGTATACCATGCTTCTACGAAGGAGTTGTTTGTTAATGCTGGATTCTAGATTCCTGATCTTATTCAGAGGAGAACTATTCATCGCTCCGATCCAGAATCCGGAGACGATTCTGGATCTGGGAACGGGGACGGGGATCTGGGCGATGGATGTCGCTGAGTAGAGTCTCTCTCTCCCTTTAAAACTCCCTCGATTTATGCTCATATATATATAAACTTGCTAGCGCCTTCCCCAACGCCCGTGTCATTGGTACCGACCTCAGCGCCATCCAACCGCGCAATACCTCGCCAAACGTCGAGTTTGTGACCGATGATTTTGAGGAGGATTGGCTGTATCCGCCAGACTATTTTGATTTCATCCATGCGCGGACTATTTCTGGGTATGATTATCCAGTTATTCGTTAAACTGCACCAATGAATGATATCTTGTGCTGATATATGTTGTACTGAATGCCAGCTGCGTCCACGACTGGCCTCGCCTCCTGCGGCAATCATACACCCACCTCAAACCAGGCGGCTACTTCGAGATCGTCGAAGTCGCCATCTGGGCCTGGAGCGACGACGGCAGTCTGAAAGAGGACTCGCCCTACATCCAATGGCTGACGCACCTGAACCAGGCGGGCGACAAGACGGGCCGGAAGATGAACGTCGCGCCGGAGCTGAGGCGGTGGGTCACCGACGCCGGGTTCGAGGACGTCACCGAGAAGGTGTACGTCGTTCCCCTGGGCCCCTGGCCGAAGGATCCAAGACTGAAAGAGCTGGGCAAGTGGGAGACGGTTGTGGCGCCGGAGTCGGTCGAGGCGTATGGGCTGCGGCTGTATACGCAGATCTTGGGCAGGAGTCCGGAGGAGGCGAGGACTCAGCAGGAGAGGGTCAAGAAGCAGTTCAGAGAGAGGTCGCTGCACGCGTATACCAAGGTGTATGTAGTCTTTTCCTGGTGGGTAACATTTGACGGACTTGACTGCTAACACGACCAAGGTACGCGGTCTACGGAAGAAAGCCCCAAGCGAAACCGGCTTGCACAGCGCAGCAGACGACTGCCAAGGAGTGACGTCTCTATCATTGTCATCGTCATTTGGTCGATTTATTTACTGTTCCCATTCTATACCTTCTAATCTATTAATCGTGCGGCGCTCCAATCAGGCAATGCCTTGTTCGAACTCAATGACTTTAGCTCTTTGGCTGGAGCAATACTCTCATGCTTTCTTTCCGATGTACTCTGTATGTACCGTACATATCTGGATCACTTTCGACAGAGGACTTTTCTAAGCTGGAGCTCAATGGTATTCAACAACAAATAATTAGATGGAGAATACCTATCTACCCAGCAAGGGAAAGTCCCAAGAGACAGTTCACGAAACTAATAGCAATATCAGGACATGCACTGTCCTTACCTTACTCAGAGCAACAAGCAAGCAAGCATAGCCCTGTATTCTAAACCCTCCCTATAGACCCTATTCGGGAAGGAAGCTGGTACATGCGACCATAGGGTGTGGAAAACAGGGCTTCCCGTCCGCTCAGCCGTACTTAAGCCACACGCCGGCTGGTTAGTAGTTGGGTGGGTGACCACCAGCGAATCCCAGCTGTTGCATGTTTTTTTATTTTTTAATCAATTTTCTAAAATGATTTTCTTCTTGGCCGCGGTACTCGCCACAGCGATGGGAATGGGTCTCGGCTGCTCTGGGGCGAGTGTTTGTCCGGCTTCTTGTCCTGAGACTCGACATTCGAGGCCTGAGGTAATCTGCCCTCGCGGAGGCGTCGCGTGTGTGCAAAGAGCTCTTCCTGAAAGTCCTCGGAGATCCATGTCTTGATAATGGGGTAATTAGGGTCCCGCTGTTGGGTTTTCCCTCAAGTTAGACCTCTGTGCCGCATATATCCTGTCTGTCTTGGGGATACTCACTTCGTCTCGTTCCCATGGCAGATTGTAAGCTCTCAGAGTCTCGGGCTGGAGGTAGCTGCGGAGAACCTGGCAGTGAGAAATGTCAATATGTCTGCGCTATCTAGACCAAGGAAACTTCTGACCTTGATGTACGTGGTAATCACCGGTCCATTTGGTTCCTCTCTCTTCTTTTGTCGCGTTTCATTGTTCTGCTCTTCCGTGTAGCTGACTTCACTTTCGGCAGCTCCCGAAACCCGCCATCCTTGTTCTCCTCCTTCTGGTGTTCCTTCAAGTCGGAATTCTGCCATCCGTGAATGATTATCCGGTGCTATGTCTGTTCTCATGAAATCCTCATTTTTGAGAGGGTTATCGGCGTTCAGTGTCATGATTGAAAGCAGGCTGTGCGGTATCTGTACTTGACTGTTTGGTATCTGTACTTTGTAAGTTTGTTCTTCTGCTACGTTCCAAGAGGTTCCCTATCTGCTCTCTTATACGTGCATACTCTTCTGATATATTGAACATCAGGTCATCTGTACTTTTGTAAGTTTGGCTGTTTTCTTCCCTTATTACTAGAGCCTGCTTACTTCTCAACCCGTTCAGCATCTCCTCTTGCAGACTTTCTAATGCATGAATAAACTCTTCTGATGGAGCGTGCATCACCATGTCATTTTCCTGTTACATAGAACAAAAATTAGCTTGCTTGTAAAATCACACATATCCGAGCAAGAATTCACACCTCTTGCTCTTCCCCAAGTCGATATCCCAGATCCAGCCTCCCTGTAGTACCTCTTGTCTCTTCTGCAGCTGCATCTTGAGACGAAGTGGAAGGTGCCACCATAATCTGAATGGACTCATTGTCGTTATTTGAATCCTCACCAGATTCACTGCTGGAACTCGATTCTCGTAATTGCATGACGTGACTCAGGATGGTCCGGTGCGAGGACTCTGGCGGCGGCAAGTCCGCCTGGGGCTCCGGGTCGAAGTGCGTAGTATCCGACCGTTCTTCGTTCTCCGACATTTCGTCGTCCGATACATCGCCACCAAATCGAGCACCGGCCTGTGAACCTGACAGCTTTGACGCATTCGAATTGTAATTCTCGTCTTCATTTGTTCGCGGTATGGCAAACAGCGCTAGCTCTTCTAAATGGCGCCCGAGATGCCTTTGAAGACCAATTCCTGGTACCCCCTCGCGACATAAGGGGCAATCAACCTTGGTCTCCAGATCGGACTGTAATGAGTGCTTGGTCTGCAAGTGATGGTACCATTCTCGGCGGCTGGCATAGAGCAGGCTTGGTGTAGGACAATCGGGAAATACGCATATGTATGGCATGAGGTCATTGAAAATATGACGAGCCCATTCGCGCTGGGTCCGTATAATGACGATGAAGAAACAATACGGGCACTCAAATTCGTTTCCATCCGCTGCCTCTTTGGGTAGAGGTGGAATAGTAATCCCGTCACCGCGTTCGAACAGAGTTTGTGCGTAGGAGGTCTGGGAAATGCCTGAATTTGACGCGGCTTCATCAAATTTGATGTGCTGTTGCTCATCAAACTCTGTTGCAATGGTCTCGGACAGATTTGTTGACACGCCGTGAAAAGACAGCTGCTGAGGTGCAAAACCGCACGGAAAATTGCAGACAGTTTGTACAATGCGATTATCCGGGGAAATTGCTGGAAGTGTCCCTGCAAGGCTTCTCATCGGGTTCACTTCCACCTTGACACGCTGGGTAGTATCGATGACTCGAATGCATCCTCCGAACTTCCCAAATTCCGAATGGTGTTTGGCTCAATCGCAGTTAATGGAGCTGCAGCTGCTTCATCTTGGTATTGGCACGAGGTCGAAACGGAGCATGGCGTGGTCAAACCGCACGTGCCACATAAAACGGCTACAATGAATGACAATGTTCATATGGTGGCTGGAGGGACCAAGGTCAAGTTCGCCATTGTGACATCGACTCTGCAAAGCGTTCCATGGCCCGAAGCGGAAGACCTGCCACCTGCCTCGCCAATTAATAATATGTGCTCTGAACTTTTGCGGGCCGAAGTCCCAGTTAATCAGAAGCCGCGGAAGCTCACCGGCTGCATCTCGGACGAAACTCACCGACATAACTTCTACGTGGTGAGAAGCTTCGTGGGCGATCCGCGATCAGAGTCTCTCGAAACACTTCTCGCGTCTTCATCTAGCCCGATCAGGTTTCAAACACGCAGCGGTTTCGTCTTCAACCGCAGAGACCGTCTGTGGCTGGCGGCAAACCTTGCCTGTAGTGTACTGCAATTGCATGGGAGCTGGCTGAAGGCTCGATGGCAACGAAAGACATTCTGTTCTCGAAGATTGAATCCGAGAATAAAACGCAACTCTACCATCCTTATCTATTACAGCCAGTCCAGAGCCGTTCAGACCAGTCCATCATCTCAACCCATAGCAGCCTGATCCGAAACGAAGTCCTGTTCCCCCTTGGGCTGGCCCTCGTGGAGTTATCCCTGTGTCAGACCATTCCCGCCTTACGCGCGCCGGAAGACTCAGACCCTGACGAGGACACAGCCGATCTAAAGACTGCATCTCGCCTTCTTAAGTATGTTTACGATGAGAGCGGGATGAGATACGGAGATGTGGTCGAGCAGTGTCTGTTTTGGCGTGGGGGAAGAGAAGCGAAACCTGATGATGAGGACTTCCAGGAAAAAGTGTTTAATTCCATCATATCGCCATTGCTGGAGGATTTGAGCAACTTTGATGGCAAGGGCCAAATTTATTAACCAAAATAAAAAGGAGAGAGATACAACTAGCTTCTTTGCTGTGTATGTATGTAGCAGTAGGAGCACTGTAGAAACTCAGCACCTATTCAGCCTTGATTTCATTTTCGCGACATCTCGGTTTCAAGCCGATGCAGATGCCCCAATAAACTAATTACCTACCTTGTTTGATAAGATTGATCTCTAGGATTGGACCACTACAATGGAGTAGTCGAGAGTCGAGGAGCGAGCACGGGGTGCCTCCTCGATAAGCTAGATCAGGCCTAGTCACTATACACTTAGGATTTCACACTTTCTTAAATAAAATCTGAACTGGGGGTTTTAATTGAGGGTGAAAATGGGGTAGTAAAGTTTTTTTTTGTTTTTTTTAACAAAATGGGTAATCCCTTTTATGTGGAGTAGTCTAGTGTTCCTTCAGAAAAAAAAAGAGAGAGAGAAAGAAAAGAGACGAGAGGAAAACAAGCTCCTCCAAATAACATATATATAACAAATATTCTACTCGTACTGGACAGCGTACAGGTCTGGTCAACACTGTTGCATCGCATTCAGCAGTGCTCCTTCCAGTTATACTCGTACAGAGAGAAATGTGTCAGGTGATTTCCCACCCAGCAAGAAAGACGGCTCTCACATCCTTTCTTAACCGTGTCCTCTCTGTCTGCTGACGGAATCTCATGCTGCAACTTCTCTACCAGGAAACAGAATTATTTACCTTCTCTAGCTGTTCCTGTCCGGTGACAACAGCCTGTCAAGTCGGTCGATCACCGCCTGGTCTTTAGGGTTGACAAGCTCCTCGTGGGCAACGACGCTGATATGGAACCCCGACAGTTGCTGCTCTTCGGCGTTCGCATAACACGATGCCGTGCGTAGGATATTCTTGATCGTCCGGCCCTTTTCGACAATCGATTTGTCAGTCATAATTCATGCCCCACTACTGGAAGATTTCTTTCTCACGTTGAGTTTCAACTCGCCCAGCACCGCAAAGATCTCGGCCGGCCAGCGCTTTTCATCTATGATACACGCGTTTTTCTGCACGAGATTCTTCCAGATCGCGGCTCGGACCTCTGATGAGAGCTGAGGGAACTTGATCGTGATGTGTATCCGCGACAGAAAAGCGTCGTCGAGATCGGCCTTCCGGTTGGTGGTCAGGAACAGCACGCCCTCGTAGTATTCGATCATTCGGAGGAACACTTTTCCACGCCAGCCAGAGTTTGGGTAAATACAGATATGAATTCATTGAATTCATTTTTAGGTAAAAACGAGAATGAGAATACCCGCAACGATAGCATTCCTCCCAAGCTCCATCGACGATCTCTTTGTCATGAGCACATCGGCCTCGTCGAGCAGGACTACAGCTTCCCACTTCTTGGCCATCTTGAAGATGTCATCCAACTTCCTTTCCACGGTGACCACGTCTGTGCTGAGCTCACCCCCGGAGACACAGTACAAAGGGCGTTCTGCTTGCTCCGCGACGCTTTCTGCATGTTTGTATTAGCATTCCGTCCGCTGAAGGAAGGAACTTTTTATTCTCCTGATGGATAAACAAACCTGCGGTGAGAGTCTTGCCTAATCCCGGTTCCCTAATTGATAATGAGCAAATGTTCAGGTGGTTTAGACCGAAGGTGCACCCACCCTTCCAGGAGAAATACAAGGCCTCGTCCTTTGCCCTTCATGATATCATCGAACCGGAGCCTCCCCAGCTGATGGCCTTTCACGAGGCTCCGGATCAATGACTTCTTCCGGGACTCCATCTGCAGCATCTCGAATGCCTGCGGATTCCACTGAATGGGCTCCAGACGATCAATCAGGATCCATCCCCATTCTTTGCTCCGGAGACAGGACGCCGGACCCCGCGCCGGGCACAGGAGAAGCAGGTCACATCGGGTCCCAATCGCCTCCGACATGTCCTGCAGCTTGTCAAACGGCGATGACTTGGGTTTCTTACCATTCATATGGTCCGAACCCGAACCGTAACTTGACTTTTCACTGTCAGGGATGGAACCCGCCTCACTCAGAGTTTCTTCCGAGTCCGAGTCCGAGGAATCAGAAGAGTCGCTATCGGATGAATCCGAATCAGGAATTAATGGTTTTCGGCCACGCATGAAGACTGGTTTGGGAGGAGAGGCTTTCTTCTTATCTTTTTCTTCGGCTTGGGAGAGACCAAGTCGGCACGCTGTCCACAGTTCTCGCTGAGGAACATGGAATAATCAACGATCAATCGTTCATTTACCTACCGAAATTTAGCATCAAATGGAACGAGGCTCAAGGCAGATGGGCATTACCTCATTCAGCGGAACTCGCACACCCACCGTTCTCCAGAGAGGTCCTTTGTACGAACGATGGCCAAACCCGGTGAGCTCATTGCCCAGTAGGGCTTTGAAGACTTCCGCCCGGCGACGCAACTTCTCTTGGAGCCTGTCCCAGTCCGGCGACATGGATGCTGGAATCAGCGGAAGCTGCGAGATCCCGTATTGTCCTCTCATGGGGATGAAACACTCCTGCCGTGCCAGCCCGAGACGCTCACCGTCAAAGTCCAGCCGCAGCCCGCTGACGCAATAACCCCTGGACTTGTACAGCACGTTCCGGCAAATCCAGAATTCTTTGTATCGGCCTTCGTTGAACACGACAATTTCGTTGGGCGGATAGATGGTCCACAGTTCCTGTCCATCGACCTTACCCTCGGCGATATTTCGCTCATAGTTCTTGATGATATGTGCCAGATCTCTCTTGGGGTCGTGGATAAAGTCTGACAATAGCTTCATCTCTCTCCGCAGATGTTCTGGATTGGCAGGGTCACTGGCGAAGGCCTCGATTGCCTCACGGTGGAAGAAAAGCTCGGAGAAGGGAAAGCGGATCTTGATGACTTTGGCGTCGAGGTCGGTATCATCGTAACATGTAGGTGCCATCCGCCGGAACTCTCTGCACAGCGTTTTCGACCGTATCTCGAGAACAGTTTCCACCGGTATAAAGCACTTCCTCTGCTTCTGCACAACGTTGCGAAGCAGCACCGAGTATTCCTCGAATTTCCGCTTCTCCCGTTCGGCCCGTTTTGGAGTCGGGCAAAATCGCTCGGTCAGGACGATCTGGTTTCCTCCGCCGCGGAGATTTCGGGACTGGATTTCGGTAATGTCCGCGAAGCGTGCCGCAACTGGTTGATCCAGAGGAGGGACCGTTACTTTGCTGATGTCGGTGCTCGTGGCGGTCGGTTTTAGCAGCGCATCGTTGTCCACCGCGGTTTCCTGATCGTTACCGGCGGTGTCTGAACCGACTTGTGTCGACGTTCCGCTGTAGCTCGGAGCAGCTGGCGCGATTTGTGTGCATTGATCGGGCGGAAAGTGGGAAGGAAGAGTGGTCAGATAGTCCTGGAGAGACATGACGACGGCGATGATCTGATTTCTGAGCAGGTGTGGCCAATGCGGCGTCTAGCAGGAAGGTCGTGTAAATGATCGGAATCCCCTTGAATACCGTGATCAGAAACCGAAAACGAATATGGAAATGGAGACGCAGGATGTTAAATACAGAAGATGGAAAGCCCAAAGGGCTGAGGAAGGGATTGCGATTGCGCCTTCACCGATAGCGCCTTGGACGGGAATGAAATGATAAGATCAGCGAAACTTTGCACAGCCTTAAATGGACTTGCATGTTTGAGCAGTACAATGTATGGTGATCCACTGTAGTCTGCTAGTTCCCAATGAGTCGGTGCCTCGCTGGCGAGCTGCGTGAATGCCCGACGAGAGCAGGCTCAGCCTCATGCACGAAGAAGGCTGAAGCAGCCGCCCAAGCTTGCAGACTGCTCAGTAGCCAGCCTTGAAGAAATTTGAATGTCTCTGGGATTCGCATGCGAGCAAAACAAAGATGCACAGCCTGCACGGCCACAACAGGGCTGGCTGGATGTAGGTGTTGTAGCAATTCAACAACAGAAACCCATGAAGGATTGACACCTGATTCAGGGTTTATAAAAGATCAAACTCCTCCATAGTTTCCTTTTCCATTATCCAGAAGACTCGAATATGGCAATTGCGAACCATTCCTAGAATACCGGTTCCATGGCACAATCCCTTCTTTCTCGCGTGACCTCTCTACCAAACGGACAGAAATGCAAGACGGAGGAGTCCGGGAAAAGCTCTCGACGCCCGCGACCAGCAAGTTTCTCGTTCCAGAGGCAGGAGTCCAACTTGGCCTCGCTCTTCACCGGAGACCCCGTGGATCGCGACAAACCGATCAAGGCCAAGAGCGGCGAAGTCCTTGCTTTTGCATGTAGGCATGAGCGACTCTGCATGCCCGAAATGGTCTCGGATACAGTCGTCGAGAATCTGCCGACGCTGGATGACATGACGGCCTATAATGTCTCCGCAGTCCAGCAACATCATCTGTGGAAGAAGGAGATCGAGCGGCTCGTCGATGCCGTGAACCATCCCCAGACCGTTATCCAATTTGCTGGAACTGAAAGCCTGGCGACTGACACCAAGAAGGCGTACAAGAACCTGTCGTTTCTGGCCGAGAAGATGTGGCTGTGTTACAGGATCTGCACCCTCGATAACGAGTCGCTGTTGAAAGAACATATCTCGGTCCTCCACGACTCCGAAGAGCTGCAGGAGACGATCGTCGACCTGGAGCGATGGGTCGAAGGGGCCGACAACAAACCCAAACTGGCCCTCTCCAGCAAGGGCAGTCGCGAGGACTTCTTCGAACTGGTGAACTACGTGACTGTGGTGCTGGCTCGCTTCCTGTGCCGGTCAGCGTACGGACCAGAATGGCATCGCACCGTACTCGCTGCCCTGGCCAAGACATCGGCCAAGTTGAAGGTGCTCTCCTGCAAGCCCGAAGAGTATGCGGCCTCCTCGCTAGCGTCGTCGACGACGACGTCGCTTGAAGAGTGCCTGGACGCGGTGGTCCCGCAAAACACTCGACAGCAGGCAAACAGCCTCGTCCAGCCGATGGAACAGCTGCGGACTGCGCTGTCGCAGCTGGAAGCTGGCTTCCCATCGTCCGGGTCCGGGGTCGATTCCAGACACGCGAGGACGCCCTCAGACGCATCTTCTGGAGCGAAAACGCCTTGGTTCACCGGTCGATGTTCATCCTGCTCCGCTATGTCATTCTCACGCTGCGCGGCCCGAATCGGCTGCGCGCGTCGCTCAGCACGTCGTATGAACTGTGTGCGCGAGTTTATCAGATCGGGTTCGAGGAATTCTCGACGCTCGTGTACCAGGATCGCGATATTGACTTCCTCGTGTCATCGAATCTGCACGTGGTGAACGGCTCCCGGGCGGCCTTCGACCAGGTCTACCAAGTGATCAAGCATCTTCAGGAGCAGAGGCAGCAGGCTCCTCCACCTCCCCCTCCGCCGGGCTCGCCTCCGGTGGTTGGCACGGTCGTCGAATGGGATTATGGACCGAAGGCCACCAAGAACGCCGGACGCCTGGAGTTGTCGTCCGTGACCGACGCGATCAACGTCATGATCCCCATGATCCTCTCCAGCCCCGTGGTGAACAAGAACGTGGTGGACTACATCTCCGTGACCATGCACCAGTCTTCTTCTCTGGCTCACGAGCAACGGAACTTCAAGCTCCTTTCGTACAAGCAGGAGATGTTCCAGGCCTTCTTTTGCCTGGGGACCAAGGAGTTCTCGAATGCGTATGGTTGCCAGGCCCCGCGGGGACTCTGCTCCCTCTCCAAAGTCGTCATGACTCGGGAGGGCCTGCTGTCCAAGGAAGACACCGACCTGGTGGTGGGCGACGGCGTGCGGCCGCAGCGCGACAAAGGCGACTTGCGCCAGCGCGAAGAGGAGATCGTCGCTGCGAACCGGCAGATGAATGAATGGATCGTCGACGAGAAGGGGGTGATGGTGACATGCCGGGTGTACGTCTACGTGGTTCTCTGCATCGCCATCATCATGGTCGGCGGAGGCATCGCCATCGGCGTGACTCTGGGGGGCCGCCTGCCTGGCGCAGATCCGTTCTCGATCGCGACGTATTTCTGGGTGCTGGCGACATTTCTCATCCTGGTGGCCAAGAGCGTCAAGGTGACGGACTGGCCCTGGCGCGACTTCTTCCTCGGCCGGGTCTTCTGCCGCAGCGTGTCCGAACTGCACGCGGTGACCAAGGTGGATCCCCAGATCATTCTCGCCAAGTTGTTGCACGACGAACCCGCCTCGCTGCTGCAGACGCGCGGGCCTTACAACGGCGTCTTTAACCACAAGTCGGAAGACGGGTTCTCCATCGACGTGCCGCTGGCCATGAAGACGCTGCCGCTCAGTGGGCTGATCATGCTGGAGGTCCAGCGCGAGAACGGCACGGCACTGGTGTGTCTCAATGCGCGTCGCGACAACTCGGTTGCCGTGCTGCAGAATCACAATAAGGGTGTCCACACGAATATGGTGTGCGAGTATGTGCGGGGAGAAAGCCGGCTGTCGAAGCGGAAACAGCGGCTGCGGTTGACGCGCAGCAAAATGAAATGGCACCGCATCAATGGCATCTACACCAGGCAGGACCATGTCTTCGTGTAGAGGACATGAAAGGGTCTCTTGCCTCGCTTGCGCTGTTATTATGATGGTCATGGTCTTGTCCACTAGAGTTCGTGTTGTGCAGTACAGATACATACATATGCCAAGTTATCTTTAACACCAGATTTCCTACTAGGTATGTACTGTACGTACATTGTCATTTACCGTCCAGGTGGCTTCCTACCTTAGTTGTATAGGGCAGATTTCCCGAATAGGAAAAATCAGCCATACCAGGCGGATAGCTTGCGGTGTGGCGCCGGGCCCCGCGTTGCTAAATTTGCGGAGAACACTCGTATTTTTCAGCTGCAGTCGTACAAAGCGAATGGATTAGTAATTTATTTCAGGTGATTAGGATGTGATTACAGACAGCGTTGGCAGTAGAAGTTTGTCGATTTAGGTAGCAATATCCTTGGACTGGAAGTTTGTCACTGTTGCCCAAGACCATTACCCCGCCCTACATGTAGTACACCGTACCCCACTTGGAAACAAGGCTACGTAACTGGTCTACATCCGTTTGCTTATTAGATATGTGCTTTGTCAGCAACTGTTTTATTCTTCAGCCTTTGTTTTCTCAGATCCTTTTGACTATTCCAGATAATGTGTATATAATACTCCAGTCCAGTCTCAACATCCATTCTCAGCGGATATTGCCTAATCTGGTAAACCTCGGCCTAGACCAGGAGAGCTTATCCCAGGATGCCGTCCAACTTATCAATTACTTCTGGGTAGAGAAATCGATTCGATAATTTGGTGCACAGTACATCGATTTGGGACTGTCTTACATGCCAGATTTCCGATACGTATCCGTGGGGTCCAACCAACCAGCATTGCAGGCATGGGCCCTGTTGTAATAATACATAGAGCATGCATGGATGGCACAGCACATCAGCCACACCCCATGCTAACTTTTAAGTGAGCTTCTTGATAAGCGAAAATCGACGACCTGCCATGGCCTATCGATCGGATCGGCTTATCGACATTAAAATACAGGTACCCCCAAATGTTTATCTGGTTGAGACGGGTTGTGTTCTCGTATCCGTATTTAGGCTTCAAAATGGACGTTGCTTAGGATAAATAACAAGTATCGCAGGTCCTGGTGAATGCGAGCTCAACATGAGATTTGGAAGTCGGCTCCAGGAGAAGGATGCTGTCAGTTAGGAGATAATACAGATGAAACGATGTCAGTGCTTGCTCTGTACTGTACATTACGGGAATAACTTCGCTGATCGAACATAGTCACCTGGGTATATGCTGATCTGATATAAACCCTGCGACGGCTGCTTCTAAGCTATCGCGCAGATCTAACTCGGTAGTTGAGTCTGAATTCTGAAGTGGAAACGGGTACTGTTTTCTAGGAGCGATGTTTCTTTTGTCTTGTGCTTTTGATCATTTGTTAGGGTAAGAGGAAATGGGCGGGCGTATTGGGAGTAAATTTACTAAACAGGTCGAATCCTCCACCTTTTTTATTATAGATTCGGTATCTGCCGATGTGGCACCGGAGTTCCCCAATCTGAGGACTCCTCCCTTAACCCACATGTTCATTTCTGGGCTAGACCGGACGACCATGTCTTTGTTGACCACCTGGGCAAGTTTGATATCTAAGAGGCAATTCCCGCTTTCATCCAATCATTCTTTGTTTATATGTGGACGGCCTTTCCAGCAATCGCGTCTTTGACCTTGCTTGCCTTTCTTCTCGACACTCTTCGCACCTTGACAGATAGAGACAACCCTTCTCTTCGCAAGGTAGAGAGCAGACAGCACAGTGCAATACTCGTCAAAACATGCCGTGGCAGGCCAAAGCCGCCGCCAAAAGAGCGAGCGTGCTTGCAAAGATCCCCCCAGAATGGCGGTTGAGCGAGGCTGACCTGGATCGCGCCTCGAAGCAGAGAGATCTAACCGGCGCCTTCATCGAGCAATTTCTCACCGTCGAGGAGATCGCGATCATCAGCCAAGCCAGCGTCTCCCTTGTGGCGCAGATACGCGAAGGAAAGTACAGCGCAGTGCAAGTCACGCGTGCATTCTGCAAGACGGCAGCAATCGCGCATCAGATCGTAAGCGAATTTGACAGCAGCACCTCCATTCTCAGAGCTGACGACTGGCAGAACCCCTGTCTGCACGAGATCTTCTTTGACCAGGCACTCGACCGGGCAAAGGAGCTGGACGAGTATTTCGCTACTCACGGCACGACGACGGGCCCCCTTCACGGCCTCCCGATCAGTTTGAAGGACCAGTTCCATGTCAAGGGCAATGACACGACCATGGGATACGTCGGCTGGATCGGCACATACGAAGGACGTCAGGACCCAAGCTTGGTGCACAACGTGAACAGCCAGGTTGTCTCCGAGCTCCTGGGACTGGGTGCCGTTTTGTATTGCAAGGTATGCCCCGGAAGCAGCATGACGGCGGCTGATGCTAACGTTCTAGTTAGACGAGTCTTGCTCAGACGCTGCTGGTGAGTGACATCGTGCCGTTCTCAATGACTGCTCATCTGACCGTGTTGCCAGATTGGCGAGACGGCGAACAATATAATCGGACAAACGTTGAATCCTTTCAATCGGAATCTGTCCTGTGGCGGTTCTTCCGGAGGTACGACGCACCTCTCTACTTGTCAGCTCCAACTGAACTGGTGCAGGTGAAGGCGCGTTGCAAGCGTTGAGAGGTAGCTCTGTAGGCGTAGGCACCGATATAGGTATGGCGTCCCTTCTTGTCTATATTTTACGTCACTGCTTAGACATCTTTCAAGGCGGCTCTATTCGTATACCGGCAGCGTTCTGTGGAGTATTCGGCATCAAGCCCTCGCGTAACCGCTTCTCGTACAGGGATGTAGCGAACGTGGTGAGTCAGACGAGACCATGCCCCTTAACGGCATGTTGACTGGTTATATTGTAGATACCAGGACAAACGACCTACGCGTCTTCTGTCGGTTTCTTGGGCACGACCATTGACGCTCTGCGCTTGATTATGACTGCGGTCCTGTCGACACAGCCCTGGCACCGCGATCCAAGCGTTGTCCCGCTTCCCTGGCGGCAGGACATTGTGGATGCCACGCTGGTGAGAGCGACAGCAGATGGATTCGCGAATGGAGAACGGCCATTGAAGCTGGGTATCCTCTGGACGGACGGTGTCGTAACTCCACACCCGCCTATTTCCCGGGGTCTTCGTCTTGTCGTAGACGCCGTCCGGAAGGCGGGTCACCAGGCAAGTCTGCTGCTGTCCTACACAGACGCAATACTGACAGAGCATACCTAGGTAGTCGAATGGACGCCTCCGTCTCACATAACAGGGAAAAAGGTGAATGTAGGCCACCAGCCACCTCAATCAGTATACTAGGCTCAGCTCCACTAACCCACTCAACCAGCTTGGCTTCTTGACCGCGGACGGCGGGCACGACATTCACAACCAGCTCCGTCTTTCTGAAGAACCGCTGATCCCGCAGCAGCGCGAGGTCTTGCAGCTGACGGACCCCATCTCGCTTCTGGAATACCACGCCCTGACCGTCGAAGGGAGGGATTACGAGGCGGCTTACTTGGATTATTGGAACGCTACGGCCGACGAAGATGGTCTGCAACCTGTGCCCTCCTTAGGCGTCTGTCCGTTAGTAGAAAGAGATAATTGCTGACGAAAGCAAATCTATCGCAGGTCAAACCGTCGACGCGGTGATCATGCCCGTTGCGCCGCACGCGGCCGTGATTCCGGGAAAGTACTACCACACGGGTGAGCTGGCCAGACGAGTGAAACACGGAGTAGCGAGTGACAACTGACAATGACGTAAAACAAAGGCTACACCGGAGCAATCAATGTCCTAGACTACAGCAGCGTCGTGATCCCCGTCACCAAAGCCGACAAGCACCTCGACCAACGAGACAAGGACTTTGAGCCGGTGAATGAGCTCGATGCGCTGAACTGGCAGGCTTGTAAGTAGTCAATCACACCCTTCATTATACCTGAAATATATTCCATGCCATTCCATGCCATGCTAACCAAGCTCGATCCAGATGACCCGGACATCTACGACGGCGCGCCTATCGGAATCCAGATCGTGGCTAGGAAGTACGAGGAGGAAAAGGTGTGGGCAGTAGGGCGGATTGTGGACGCGATCCTGCGGACGGCTGGCATCGATGTGAATACTGGTAGTAATACTACGGGTCAATGTGCAGGAGGATGGGGGAGTAAACTCTGAACTAAATAACTCCTGGGAGCCCTAACATGATAACCACCTGGATATTTTTTTTTTGCGTGTGGGCTATCACAAGTAAAATTTACTTTCAGGGGGGTTGAATAGTTCTGTCTATTGGGGAAAAAAAAAGAATAACTCACTAGATAGGCTAGATAGACACTCTTACTCCCTAGGAACTCGCAGAGTTACACAACAGGTCACCAAAAAAAAAAGAAAAGAAAAGAAAAGGAACAGATTTTAAGCTTACTCCGTACCATTGACCATCTTCGGTACAGTACATGAACGTACCACGTGAATCTTGATCCAAAGACAGCCACGTGGTTTTTTCCTTTCCCCCTTGCTTTCCATGGTGCTGGAACCACAGAAACCCAGGGAACCGTTCTATTTTGTCATTTAGAGCATAGGGCACCCACAGTACGGAATACATACTACACACTCCATACACAAAACCCTTCCAAGGTTAATAATGATAATTCTGTAATATATATACGGTGATGTAGTCATACAGTGATAATACACCCTGCGAGTGCATTGCGTCTGTACTCAATCAATCCATCCATCAGCATCATACGGGGTACGGTGTTACGGTAGGTAGGTGTCTCCAGCGCACAGACCACTTCCTTCCAACCGGGGAAAGACACTTTCTAGGGTTATTTCTCCGGGGTACTCCATACTCCATACTCGTAATTTGGTTCGCCGTTAATTAAATTCAAGTTCGTTCGGCCAACCAAAGCCAAGCCTGCGGGTCTGCGGCAAGCTTAACTTAATCACCAAAACGGGAAGGTGGAATTTTAAAAAAATTAACCGAGATCCTTGTTGCCGAGTATGCCTACTTAGGCTACTTTCCCCGGACTTTTTTTTTGTGCTGTCACATGCTCATGCATATGCAAAATGCGGATATTCGTGTGGTTGTCTACCATGTGATGTCATGCCATGTGTATACTGTATAGAGTACGCGTGCATATGGCTGGCTACTGCAAGGAAAACAGCTCCAGAAAAAAAAAAAGAGTACTCCGTAATACTGTTCAAGGCCTATCATAACACATTGAATCCATAATCCTATCTAATACAGTCCATTCATCCATCCATTAAATTCCCATACTCTCCTTAGACAAAAAGACAGACAGAATTATAAATTCTAAAAATCATTTTTTAAATGAATATATCCCCCGGCTCCACCGGTAGCCAGTTGACCGTATATCGAATCGACCCATCCGGCATTTCCAATGGCGTGAGAATGTCCTCCTCTGCCGAATCGGAGGAGGTAGCGCCAGGGGTAGAGGTGCTAGGAGAGCTCTTGCTGCTCTCGCCATCGTAATCAAAGGGCGGTACGGAGGGTATTGATGGGATTGGTCCCAGATCTGGCGCTGAGAGGAGTCGGTACTCAATTCCGCTTTCGTTGGAGGTTGATGACGCAGTATCGGATGACGATGGCGGTGATGAGAACGACGATAAGGAGGATGAGGACGAGGAGGATGGCGAGGAGAGAGGAGATGATAGTCTGGTGCTGAATCGTCGGTCTTCTGGAGAGGGGGTAGGATCGTCTAGCCACGGAGGGACGTCGTTTGTCGCATTCGCTGAACGGGAGATAGAGTCCGACTGGCGAGAAGAGGGTCCTGTTTTGAAGCGTTTGGATGGTCTGTCGCAGACATCCACGTCGTTGTAGCGATGTTGGTCGATTGTCGAATCGCTGCTGCCATTGTCGCTGGCTTGATTCGTAGACACAGACTCTGAGGTGGATATTGTCCTGCACGATCGCCGTTTTGGAGCTTGCTTCTGAGTGACAGATTGTCGAGTATGCGAGTAACGCGATTTTTCCGACGAGACACGATTCTGCGAATCGAGCGGACTTCTCAACGTCAGCCTTGCCATCCGATTTCAACATGATCACGTGTGTAAGTACCTCGTCAGGATCCCCTGGCCCGACAATTCCAAATTCTGTGCCTGCAGAGGCAGACTATACTCTGGAATCGGCGACCAGCCACTCGCCAACTCGAACGGATTCCATAATGATGCGTTGTTCTCGATTTCGCTGCTTTCGTCGTGCGTCAATTGCCAGCTGTATGCCTCCTCGCTGCCGGGCAGAGACGGCGGGAGGAACAGTGATTGATCCCAGTCGAGTATCTTGTCATTGATGCCAAATTCGTAGCCCGTCAGACTGTCTGCCCAGTCGACTGGTAATGGGAAGCTGTCCCAGTCGGATGGACGGGTTGACAGGGTCATTGCGCAGAATCAGAGACGAGACTCGCGTGTTGACAATTGGCCGTTGCAGCTCACTTGGCTCTGAGCAGGTAAAAAAAAAATATCGCTATGCTATCTCCCACTCGACAGACAACAACACATAATCAGACAAACTAAAGGCAATTTCACTGCAGAGAGTCGTGGTAGAACAAAAAAAAGTCGGCTCCGTCAGCTCAAGCTACGCGCAGTAGATAAAAAAAACCGGGGAAGGCGAGAACATATATAAACCCCGCAATAACTAAAGCTATGAAACGAATTGGCCAGTAGAATCCTGCCCACGCATCCTACGGCATACCTAGCTAGCAGTCATTATTAGGAGTCATCAACTACGGAGTACAGTTGCTTGCTAACACGCTGAGGTCATAGCTCTTTCTGAGCGAGAAGAGCTAGAACGAAGCTAAAATCCGACTGGTCGGTTGTGTCTAGATCGGTAAATTTCAGTCTACTAATTAAGCTGTCTGTACCTGGCCCTCCACACCCAGCTCAACGGGTCAACAAAAGATCAACGAACGGAATGAATGCTAATCGGAACACGAGGAACTAAGATGAACGAGGTCAGGGGGTATTCGTTTCCACTGGCTCAAGTATTCGTTTTTTTTTTTTCGTCGAGTCAGTCCTGAGTACTTACGCGCCCGAGTCGGCAACGGCTAAGGTCTGTGCCGGCCTAGACCAACGGATCTAATTAACCGAACCGAACCGACCGAGCGGTTGTTTCTTAAATTGCCGTAAGAAAAATAATGCTGCTTGCTGCAAAGCTGTAGTTGTATTAACAGAAAAAAAGGAAAAAATAAATACCCAGCTGAATGAAGTTACTAGTTACGAACAATAGGAAAAATAACAATAACAATAATAATAACTCCGTGATCAAGGGCTGATCGACTGGCAGGAGGAAAATTCCCGAAATTAACCGAACCGAACCCGACCGACCGACCGATCGATCGGCTTCCCCGCAATCCTGCTCCATGAGGCCTCCGCGTGACCTCCATGTCTGGTCCACCTGGACGTCCAGGCCAGGAACGACGAGACGAGTCGACGACTGGTTCTTACGCAACCTACCTGGTAGGCAGGTATTAGTAGTTATCTAGGTACCTGAGGACAATAGAGCTGGTCGTCTTATCTGATCGATCGGATCGAATTGATGATCGTCAGGGGATGTCCAATCGAATCGCCTTGAGATTTTTATTTCAGTCTCGTTATTCTTACGTAGTGTATCTATCGACGGTTTAAAGAGGGGAGGTTATAGGAGTGAATAAATAATTCTATCTAGTAGGGTAACTCGGCTGAGGAAGTGTCCTACTTTTGTGAGATTTCAGTTGGGTATATTATATCTGTTTTGGACATCTGATTCATTACTATAGATACAACTATGTAGTTAGTATTAGACAAATATATGACCTACGGTGGAGATACACCGTACATTTTCAGACCTCATCATGTAGTACTATACAACATACATACCAGCTGCCAGCTACAACGCCAACCCCGTCCCATTCCTCGTCCACCGATACAACGCCAGCACCGCCTTCCTGCGATGCCGGATCTCGCTGTGGTTGACGGGCCGCCCCCTCGCCTGCGCCACCGCGCTGCGCATCACCTGCCGGAAATTCCGCTGGTACTCCGTGTTGAGCGTCACGACGCACGACTCGGTCGCTCGGATCACCACCTCGCACGCCTTCAGGATCCCCTCGCCCGCTTCCTTCTGCAGCCGCTCCACGATCAGCAGCAGCAGGAAACTGCCCTGCAGCAGCTGGATGCCGAAGAAGTACGGCATGAAGCTGACGTCCGGGTCGTAGTGCAGGATCTGCTCCAGCGCGTTCGCCGCCTCGAGCGCGTGCGAGATGGTCGACGCAAACGTCGGCGACGACGTCCAGAAGTCCTTGTCCTCCAGCAACGACACCGGGTCCCATTTGCCCATCAGCAGAATGTGCAGCACGTGCACCACGTACGACGCATATGCCACCACTGTCTGTGTGTGCCAGGCATGGTACGACGAATAATTCGCGTCGACGGACGGCTGCTCGGGGACCATCGGGGCCGACAGTGACGGAGGCGGTTGGGGCTGGATGGGCTCCGGCCCGCTCGAAGCGGCGAACGTCTGCAACGTTGACTTGTAAATGTCGAGCTGGCGCAGCACCTCGCTGACCTGCACGTCCCAGGCTTCTTTGCCCTGAAGGCGGACGCCCAGCATCGGGTGGTTCTTCGCCTGGTTGAGGTTGATCAACTCGCCCGTGATGGTCATCAAGGGCAGGAAAAAGCCAAAGATGGAGTGGTCGTTGCAGGCGAAATTGGGGAACACGCGGCGTTTGTTCTTGTCGCCCGAGATCAAACACTGCGGGCCGTCGGGCTTGGGACTGTTGCTGTGCACGTCGCCCGCCTGCCACGGCCCTTCCTCCAGGGGCAGCAGCAGATCCTCGCATTCGGCATCCAGCAACGCCAGCGGCCGGTTGTAGCACAGCGCCAGATGCCGGTCCATGATGTACAGAAGCCACCAGGTGCGCCGCCGCTCCTCGCGATGCTCTTCCGTCATCATGTTCGGACGATGGCGCGTCCGATCACAGACGCAGTTCAGACTCGGGCGAGCATATTCGCCGCGATCGTCGGAGACGGAGCCGAATCCCGCACTGTCGGTGAAGTCGAATGGACGGCCGCTGTTGCTGTCAAAATTCGGAGTAACCTCCACTTCCTGGTTCAGCCGCAATTCTCGCGCCAGCGTGAAGGCGGCATGCCACCTTGACTCACCGTCAGACCTGAACTCCCAGTCAGAAATTCCGAAAAACTTACCATCGCATGCTGGCTGCCTTTTGCTCGCTGGCTGACACGATCGAGGCCACATGGATGTAGGTAATGATGTCGTCTAGAGAACCTGCCGGACCGACCAAACCTCGATCATCCCCGCCTTCTTCGAACGAATGCGTCCTGCCGTCATGAGCGGCGTTGGGAGAGGTGTACTCGTTTTCGCCCGTCGTGACGTCTTCCCCTTTAAACGAAACGTGGATCAACGGCCTCAGCAGACGGACCGTCAGGGCACACAAAAACTGACAGATCTTCCTCCGCTTCATTGGCGAGATGGAGAGGGCAAACGCACGGTCATCCAGGGCAGCGACCCAGAGCATGCTCGCCAGGAGAGCTGGGCTGCTGGGTCGTGGGTTGTCGCGACTGAGGAAGGAGGCCTTGCGCACGACATAGCAGTGGATGTGATGGCAGACAGGATGCATGAGAGTGGAGAAGGCGCTGGTGAAGTAGAGTTCCAGCAAATCGTAGACGAGATTTCGGGACAGATACGGCTCTAGGAATGGCATCAAAGGCTGCAACACGGGGTATTTCAGAGGTGGCTCTGTGGTCCCTGACCCCGGAGCAGGATTCATTCTCTGGCGAGAGACTGATCGCGGAAGCTGATACCCGCCGATTTCGGCCGTCCCCATCATCTCCAAGGGGACGCTGAACGGCCCGTCCGACAAGCCCATGTTTGCAAATAGATCGTAAGAATATGGGGCCTGGAAGCCATTCGAGGCGGACATCCAGTCGTCTGAAATGTTTCCCCCGGCTGCTGTATCTTTCGGTGACGTTTGCAGGTCTGCGACTGACCGCTGTTCTCCAATGCTAGGTGCTGAGGGGGGGGGAAGGACGGTTTCGGCCGCGCCGGGAGAGCGATGGAAATTCGACGCAGGAGAATCATTCTGCAAGGGCGAAGTGGCCGTGATGGCTGCATCTGGGGGATTTGCGGTCACCGTCTTGTCTCGATTAGAAAGAGTTTCTCCTGTCGCTGCCCTCGCGTTTGTGTTTTTGCGGGGGATCCGTCCGCGCTTCCTGCGCTCTCGCGTGAGTTCACATCGTATGCGACTTCCCACACACCGTGTGCAGGGGAATGCGCGATCGCATCTCACCCGCCGGGCATGGCAGGCGTCGCAGGCGACGCGGTTGCGACGCCATCGCTTTTTCTGGCCATTGGCATTGTCCTGCTCCGGCGAAGCTGGCGACTGTTCATTCTCAGGCCGGGCAGTCGCCATTTCCAAGCCTCATTGAGAGGCACTGAACCAGTCTGGCTTCAGACAGAAATTGGAGAGGTTCTGGATGGAAAGCTGCGATAATCACGGTCTGGCTTCGAGGAGCGATCTCGTCTGACTACGGCGAAATGGGCGAAGCAGCCTCACCGCATCGGGGATTGAACATGGATCGGACGCCGACTTAAGGGCACGACTCGGCTGAGTTGGCGGTGTCGCAAAGGACCATGGCCACGTTGACACACAATGGCGTGGACAGAGTGCTTCGAGGGGCAGTGGCGAGAGGAGAGATGAAGACAGAGAGTATTCTCGATGGTGCGATGCGGAATCCAGCCGAATCCATGCGGAGTCCCGGCGGCAGGCCTGGGCACGTGGCCGCTGCGGGGTTTGCCCCAAAACTGCCACCGGGGACTCGCCCTGGCCAATCACGTGGAGGACCACGATGAGCATCCAAGGAGCAGAACGTTCCTGGGAATCGAAATCAACGTCTGTACTGTACAAGCAGACAGCAGTCTCAGAAACAGATTGACCGCTATCTACCCCACGCAAAAAGCTCACATTTTCTCTTTGTAAAACACGACTTTTCTTTAAAAAAAAAGAACGCTTATTGCTTGGTTTTCCTTAGGTGGGCGAGTCGGCGCCTGCATATAGATAGATTGTCTGCCGTCAGGTGACACTCGTAGGGCTTAGGGCTCAGGGCAAGGGTTCTGGCAGCTCACCTGCTACCCACAGCAGATCGTTTCAATCCACGGAGTACTCCGTATAAGCATCAACTCGTCCTCTCCGACTCTCATTCCGATTAGCTGTTCGATAACATCTGTTCAGTGGAACGTGCCAGCCTGAGCGCGGCTGGCTGGAGCCATTGCGGAGAAGCTGCACTAGCGCCCTTAGTCCCTTGCAGGATCACTGGGCCATTCGCTCTCGCGTCAAGCTACGTGCCATCGCGCGCCCCGATCCGGCAATCGGGCTGTCCATCCCGAGTTTAACCCCTCTCGCGCGCATGCAGCTGTCCAGAAGATTGTCTTGGGAGATGTCACCCTGATATCTGCTGGGATAAAATTCTCCGCTGTCACCATGTCACCTGTCGATCACCGTCTCCGGACGCGTCTCTCTCTCCTCTGCCACGCATCTGGCGAGGCATATGCAATTGGATCCTGCTTCACGCATCTCCTGGCTTGATCGCGTGCATGTTTCCATTGAGAAGGAGACCCGTGAGCGGACGCTCCGGGGTGGAATGGACGTTGTTGATCCTCGCGGTCGGCACCACCGCCGGGCTGGCTACTGCAGCAGCCAGTTTTGATCCCCTCAGCTATGTCGACCCCCTGATCGGATCGGACAATGGAGGCAACGTGTTTGCCGGCGCCAGTCTGCCCTACGGCATGGCCAAGGCGGTCGCAGACGTCAACGGCCAGAACACGGGCGGCTTCGCGACGGACGGCAGCCAGGTGACGGGATTCTCGACGATGCACGACTCGGGCACTGGGGGGAATCCGTCCCTGGGCACCTTTCCTCTCTTCCCGCAGTACTGTCCAAACGACGTGATCGACAATTGCAAGTTCCCCATCGGCGATCGTGCCGTCGGTTACGTGAACAGTTCTGTCGTGGCGACTCCGGGCTATTTCGCCCTGTCCTTGGAGAGCGGCATCCATGCGGAGATGACCACGACTGAGCATGCTGCTCTGTACAGATTCACTTTTCCGGAAACGACAAACAACGGCTCTGCGCTGCATCCCCTGGTGATGTTAGATCTGACGGACCTTGCACAGAGCCGCCAGAACGCCTCGATTGGCATCGATCCCTCTACAGGGAGAATCCGCGCCAACGGGACTTTCCTGCCCAGCTTCGGCGCGGGATCCTACCGATCCTACGTCTGCGTCGACTTCGCCGGTGCCGATGTCTATGATAATGGGATGTGGGTGAATAACCGCGGCGGCACGGAGCCGAAAGAGCTGTTTGTGACACGCGGGTTCAACAATTTCTATCTCCAGGCGGGCGGATGGGTGCGATTTGGCCGTCCGAGCAACGGGGTCTTGTACGCGCGCGTGGGAGTCAGCCTGATCAGCAGCGACAAGGCCTGCCAGAACGCAGAAAAAGAAATTCCCCAGCCAACCAGTGACTTTGACCGCATCAGACAAGCTGCAGAAAGCGCCTGGAGAAAGCAACTCAGCCCGGTTTCGGTGCAGCCTGGCGGCGCAAGCGAGGACTTGCAGAAGATGTTCTGGAGCGCTATTTACCGCACGATGCTCTCTCCGCAGGACTACACGGGGGAAAACCCGCTCTGGGAGAGCAGCGAGCCGTATTATGACTCGTTCTACTGGTAGGTGACTCTCCGAAGCAGATTAATATATACGCGTCTGTCTGTATCTTTGGGTGGCTGACATTCTGCAGCATCTGGGACTCATTCCGAGTCGCTCATCCACTGCTGACAATCCTCGATCCCAGCTCCCAGTCGAGAATGGTTCGCAGCTTGCTCGACACGTACAAACATGAAGGATGGCTGCCGGACTGCCGGATGAGCCTGTGCAAGGGCTGGACCCAGGGAGGATCAAATGCCGATGTGGTACTGGCGGATGCCTTTGTGAAGAACCTGACCGGGATCGACTGGGAGCTGGCGTACGAGGCGATGGTCAACGACGCGGAGAACGAGCCTCTCGAGTGGTCGTACCAGGGACGTGGCGGTCTGATGAGCTGGAAGCGGCTGAACTACATTCCTTATCTGGACTACGACTACCTCGGGTTTGGCACCAATTCTCGGTCTATCTCCCGCACCGTGGAGTACGCGTACAACGACTTCTGTGTGGCGACTGTTGGCAAGGGACTAGGCAAGGACAACTACACGACATATCTGTCGCGCTCGAACAACTGGCAGAATCTCTTCAAGCCCGACCAGAACTCGACCATTAACGGCACCGACACGGGCTTCAAAGGTTTCTTCCAGCCCAAGTATCTGAACGGTACCTGGGGGTTCCAGGATCCGATCGCGTGCAGCCCGCTGGCTGGGTTTTGCTCGCTGACGACGAACCCTTCCGAGACGTTTGAGTCGAGTGTGTGGGAGTATCAATTGTAGGTGGCACCCTCACCAGGAGTACTCGTAATTGCTTTCTAACTTGCTATGTGTATAGTTTCGCTCCGCACGACATGGCCACTCTGATCAAAATGCTTGGAGGACCAGACTCATTCGTAGCGCGTCTGAACTTCTTCCACACGTCGGGACTGGCCGACATCGGCAACGAGCCAGTCTTTCTGACGGTCTTCCAATACCACTATGCCGGACGACCCGGTCTGTCGACAGCACGCGTGCACAGCTACATCCCATCATCTTTCAACGCGTCGAGAGACGGGTTGCCGGGGAACGACGACTCAGGCGCCATGGCGTCATTCACGATCTTCTCGATGATAGGCCTGTTCCCCAACGCGGGGCAGAACGTGTACCTGATCACGACGCCGTTCTTCGAGTCCGTCAGCATCACGCACCCGGAGACAAACCGGACGGCGACGGTGCGGGTCGTCAATTTCGACCCCACCTACAAGAACGTGTATATCGTGAATGCGACCCTGAATGGGCAGCCCTACACCAAGAACTGGATTGGTCATGAGTTCTTTACCCAGGGCATGACGCTGGAGCTGACGGTGGGGCCGAGCGAAGAGGAGAGTACTTGGGGGAAAGCGCCAGAGGATCTCCCGCCGAGTTTGTCGTCGGTGTTATCATCGTCAGTATCAACATATGAGCAGGGATTCTAGTTTGGCAAGAAGTAATATATCCATCTATTTATCTAAGCATTACATCTTAGATAGTTTAACTGATTTCTAGAATGAATGTATTTATCTTACTAAATAGACATCAGCTTGTCTATGGAAAATTCCCTCCCTGTCAACGCTCAGGACGCTCTTCAGACCTGACTTCTATCATGCCCAGCAGCCTGTATCCTCTCCCACGCGCCCCTCAGCATTTCCTCGACAGAGACAAACTTCAGATCCGGAAACCGCCGATTCCAATCCGGCTGCATATCGATCATCCCGTTGTGGATCCCCAACACCCACCCGGTGAGGAATGGGATAAGGAGGGTGTCGACCTGCTCCGGGGTGATTTTCTTGGCGAATGTAGGGATCCAGCTAGATTTGAATTGGCCGGCTTGTAGGTCGGAGACGTGGAGACGGTCGAGGTGGAATTTTTGCCTGGAATGAATGCATATGCGTGTCAGGGACAAAGCAAAGGAAGGACAGGGGGGTGACGTTACCAGTGATCCTCTCCGCAAGATGGATGATTTCCATCATGCTGGTCTTTTCGCCGACGATACCGCCGCCGTTATGAGGAGACAACGGCTCGACAGAGTCGATTGCGCGCGCAACGACTTTGGCGACGTCGTTTGCGGCCGTCACGACCATGGGAGCCAGGTCATCCTCGACGACAATTGCACGGGCACCGACGAGGTCAAAGAACATCGGGAATGTGGACATGTGCTTGGAGGGAGGGCAGGGATGGGCGAGATAGTCCATCAACAAGCCTGGTTGGAAGAGGGCGTATTCGAGGACCTGATAAAAGTTAATCTGATGATTCTTTACCATTCGGATGTCATAGGGGTACTCACCGTCTTCTCCCTGTTAATTTCCTCCAGATAGTCCAGAACCGGCTCCTTGATGGCTTACATTGCAATCCCAGACCTGACCTTTCTAGTCGACTCGACAAGTCAATACAGATCAACCTGAAAGGAAACACCTGAAAGGCCTGACAGTATAGAATCGACCTACCCAGCCCATTCACTAGGCGCAAACCGCTTTACACCCGCCGCAACACAGGCATCAATCAATGCCTTCTGGCACCGACTCTCAGGGTCGCTGGTAGGGCTGATAAAGGCGAGGACCGTATGCGCGCCCTGCAGGTTTCTCACCAGGGCGGCATGGTCGGTGTAGTCTGTGACTTTGACTGCTTTGACGTTGGGGATTTGAAGGGTTGAGGGGTCCTATGATAGGTAATCGCCAATTAGCATGTAAATAGATAGATACACCATTTTAATGAAGTGTTGATGTTGCATACCTTTCTCGTCCAGACTATCACTTCATGCTTTCCCTGCGAAGCGAGTTCCTCGGTGATAAAGCGACCGACGCCTAGAGAGCATGTTCAGGTCTGTTCTCTCTTCGAGACTGATTGATGACAATGACTTGCGCCCAGCACCGCCGATAATGACGACTCGCACCATGGTTGTTCGTCAGAGATACAGAATCTTAGTTGATGGTATCTTGTCTGAAGAGGATTTCAATTCAGATTCTTCTGTCGCAAATCCCCAGGACTGCCGCCTTATATAGTATACATACATGAAAACATGTAATATTAGATACACACATTATGTATAATCTGTAATACAACGACATCATTATTAAACCGCTGAAGAAAGGGGTTTCCGCCAGTAATAATAATATAATAGCTTTTTTTTTAATATTAAACCCGAATATCTCCAACAATCACCCATAATGTCCGTCTTAACTCCGGCGGGTGTCTTTTTAAGCTTACTTCTTGGGAATAAACTTTAATTAATGCGGGCTCCACTCTCAATAAAATGTTAGGTTTTACTTTCTTTTGTATTCTTTGCACTTCTTTTATCTTATTCTATTAGAAAAAAGATATTTATACATGTACTATGATGGGGGGAAAGATACTATCGTTGCAGTAGGCTCACTCTACTGTTTCTATGCGGTCCGCTCCATAGAGTACAGATTAGTTGCACTTGATGTCCTTCTTTTAACCTGAACCAGATACCTAGCTCGCCTCACTCCTGAGCTGACTGGTCTGACATCACGCATAGATGCCGCTCAGCATTCACGTAGAATTACTAGTCGGCAGACTATCTACTATATTCAGCTAACACAGCCCTTGAAGAAAGAGAATCAAGTCTGCAAAGATCTAGCCTTTATTACAGAGTAGCACTTTTGAGTAATATGGCCACTCCAACCCCGTATTTTCAGGATTCTCCTTTGAATCGCTGGTTTGGTATTAAAATCCATGTACTGTACTTACGACCGCCAAGTATTATAAATACTTGGAACATACTATATGCAGTTATATTTTGCATGTAGACCGACTAAGCATGCTGTTCTGAATACCGCGCAAAGTAATACCACAAACTACTGCATCGTAAGGTCTGTCGTTCCTCATCGTTGAAATGAGACTTGCCTAGGTGACACAGATGTATGCATTATGACGAGAGATTAAAAGCCTGTTATTATGATGCGGCTATATATATATGTACGATTTTCTTTATCTGACACAAACCAAGTATATCTATCTCTGGATTAATATACGGAGTAAGCTTTAACGCCTGTCATCTGCAGACTGCCCAAACGGTACCTGGTGGCGTGTCGATCATCTACTACTCTAAAAGAAAGCTTATTCACGTCCTACCCGAGTTACATTCAACTCGCAAACAACCGCGACAAGGATTCGACTGTCCTATTCGAGCTGGAGGACACATGATAAGCGCATCGCCGTAAGGCTGCATCCATAATCTTCCTTTGTTCGACTACTAAATTAGGTCAGGCCTGCAGTACTCAAACCGACTTTCTCAGGCCTCTCTTCCGTCAACAAAGCTTGAGATGGCAGACAGCTAGCTCTTCGAGTTCAGGAATTGCGTCCACCCTGCTCACCGCTTTTTTTTCTTCCTTTCTTCCTGCGGAAACTTGCATAGTAATTGAGCAGCGAATGGAGGGTTCCGTCCTCACCACTATACGTACATACATACAGTAGATGTACTGTACATTATTTCTGCTGATCTCTTGCATTTCATCATGTTTCTCTAGATTCCACATCTCTCATCAGCATTTCCTCGCTATACTTGTAGATATCGACAAACATGCCTCCAAAATCCGTCCTCATCACCGGCTGCAGCGACAACGGCATCGGGTCCGCCCTGGCGATCATCTTCCAGCAACAAGGCTACCACGTCTTCGCCACAGCGCGCAACCCAGCAAAAATGTCCAAACTAAAGGACCTGCAAAACGTGACCTTGCTGACGCTAGACGTGGTCGAGCCCACGCACATCAGCGCCGCCGTCGAAGCCGTCCGCAAGGAAACGGGCGGAACGCTGACGTATCTCATCAACAATGCCGGAAGGAATCACTTCATGCCCGTGCTGGACGAGGATCTCCACGCTGCCAGGAGAATCTACGATGTCAATGTCTGGGGTCCGTTGGCAGTGACGCAGGCGTTCGCGCCGCTCGTTATCAAGGCTCGGGGGAAGATTGTCTTTATTACTTCTATCACGGGGTATATCAATATGCCGTATATGGGTAATTAACTCTACCTTTCCATGCCTTAAATCTTTCAGCCATGGAAGGACTGATGATGTCTTCCACAGGCATCTACAGCTCCTCAAAACGCTCCCTAGAAAACATTGCCGAAACCCTGCGTCTCGAACTGTCCCCCTTCAACGTCGACGTCTTGTCCATCGTCACAGGCGCCATCCAAACGAACTGCCAGACCTCCTTCCACTACTGGAAACTTCCCCCGGACTCGCTGTACAAGCCCATCGAGGGGACCATTGCGCAGCGCGCGCGCGGCGAAGACGGCTTCAGCAGGATGGATCCCATGCAGTATGCTAGGAGGGTGGTTGGAGAGATTGTTCGAGGCAAGACGGGGAAGTTTTGGTATGGCAGTTTGGCTAGTGAGACGTGGTTTTCGTCCATGTTTTTGCCGACGGCGATGGTGGTGAGTTCTGTTGTGCCATGTCATGGCACAGCATTATCCAAACTTGGTTACGGACTTACTGACTGGTTGATATCTAGGATGACGCTATGGTCAAGGGAACAGGGCTGGACGTCTTGGCAATGCAGAAGCTGTGATGTGATTTGATACTTTCAGCAGGATGTTTCATCTTTCGTTCGTTTTACTCTATTTCATTCAATTCGTCTCCGACGAAGATTCTATTCCGTACCTTGAAGTCTCGACCTATTCATTTTTTCCCCAACAATCATACTATTTTACACCAAAGGAAAAAAGCAAAGAGTCTATTCAGGTCAGCGAGGATAGATATCTATGCATGATATTTTTTTCTATCCTCAAGGCTAAATAAATGCATACATCTCTTAAAATCATTACCATTCCATCATTCCATTCATCGTTCATTCCACATATCTATCTATCTATTTACAGAGGAATCATGTATCTATCTATGTACAGTACATACATGCAAGTCCCAACCAGCCAGCAACGCCAGGTTCTATCGTTCGTCACTTCAGAAAGACATTATTAAGCAAGACACAATGCAAGAATCAAGATAGGATGGTAGGGTAAGAATAAGGAACAATATCTATGCCATGACGCATTCATTCAATCATTGATTCGTCGAAGTAAGAGTTTGTTAAGTCATGAGTCGGGTTCGAGGGCTGGTTCTGGTTCGGCCTCAGGTTTAACTTCGGCTTCAGTTGCGGCCTCCTCATTTTCATCTGGATGCTCATCCTGCCGCTGTTCCTGTTCCTGTTCCTGTTCTTGTTTCTGCTCCTGCTCCTGCTCGTCCCGACTCGTCCGCTGCCGCTCTTCTTCCTCCTCCTTCTCAACCTCCTCCTCCCAGCTGTCGGCAATATCCTCAACATCCGCAGAAGCATTCTTCTTCCCAGCACCGACGCCCGACCGCAGCACGAGCAGATCCTTTTTCTTCGCATTATTGACGCTGCCGCTGCTGCTGGTGCTGGGAGAACTCTGGTCCATGGCGAGGGCGGTATACGTCACCGTGCCGCTGCCGCTCGTCACGAAAAGAGGAGTCGGCCCTGCAGGATTGCTATTGCTGCCGTTCGTGTCCGGCCGGTTCTTCCTGCGAGACGCCACCTGCGCCCATCCATCGGCCCCTGCGCCTGCGTTTGCAGCAGCTGCCATCTTGGCTGCTTCGCGCTGCGCCTTGGCTTCCGCCGCGGCCGCACGCTGCGCTTCCCGCTCCTTCAATCGCTCGCGCTCTCGGAACCGGACACATTCGCCCACGGTCATCCCTCCAATGCCGATCGACGAGCCAGACCCCAACCCAAACATCGGCGGAGTCCACGACGTAGGCTTCAGCACAAACACATGGCGATGCGGCTCCGGATCGAAGCTCTCCGACGCGAACCCCCAGTCTGCGGCGAGCGAGTGGACGAATGCTCGCAGAGCAGCACGCGCAGGTTGGAACCGCACGGAACGTTGGGTTGAACTCGTCGCGAGACCGTGCAGCGCGGCCTCGTAATCTTGCAAGGTCGCCAGGGTGGACGAAGAAGACAGCTGGACGTACATGTCCAGCGTCTCGGCCGAATAGGGCAAGTTGGTCGCGCTGATATTGTGCGGACCCGCACGCTGACTCACAGTTGTCGACGGATCGATGTCGATCTTCAACGCCGACGCCAGCGATCGATTCCGCTCTAGACGCGCGCACTCCTCGTCACACTTCAGCGGCGCGAACGATGGCAGCGTCTCGGATTGCTGCACCTGGCCCTTCGAAGTCACTGCCCGCGCCGCATTGCAGCGTCTCTCCTGTCGCAGCCGCCCGCAGTCGCATGTCACCGTGACCATGGTCTCGCAGGGGGTCGTCTCGGGGCATGGATACGGCGCATGGCAGGGCTCCGTGCACGGATGGCCACAGAGCTTCTTTGTCTTGCCGCAGGGTTGCTGGCAAGGCCCGGCGGCATCCTCGCAGTCTCCCGGCCGGTGGCAGGTCTTCTGGCACGAGTGGGAGCCACACTTCAGCGGTTCTCCGCAGACCAGTCCGCATCGCACGTCCGTCAGCCAGCATGGCTGATTCTTGAGCCACTTCTTCCCGCAGAGACATTTCTTCTCCGTCAAGAAGGGGCACTTGGGACAACTCTCGTCGTCCGTGTGGCAGTTGTGGGGGGTCTGCGGGTGGCCGCAGGCCTTGGGCCGTTCGCACTCAAACCGACACGGAGGCGGTTTCGTGCCGCATGGGAGAGGAGGATACAAAACCGATCGTCCGCAGTGACAGGAGACCTCTTCGAAGATCGCCTCCCGACACGTTGAACATGGCCCCTTGTGGCAGAGTTCCGGGCACGTATGCCGGCCGCATTTCAGCATCCGACCGCAGACTCGGGTGCAGATGTGCTCGGCCTCGATATCGTCGTCTGTCGGTCGACTCGACGCCGCATTGAGTGACCGCGGTTTTCGCTTGCTCGCCTGGCGTTCAATGGCCTTGCGCTCGCCGGGACAACACCGTTCGCTGCAGGCGTGTCGGCCACAGTTCAACGTAGCTTTGCAGACGCGGAAGCATTGAGGCGGCTCTTCCTTTCCCTGATGGCAGATCGTATTGAACGAGCTGCGACCACAGCGGCACTTGATCGAAACCGTCCGCAGACATGGCCGGCAGGCGCCCGTGTGGCAGACCATGGGGCATGGATGCCCACACGGCAGTATCTTGCCACATGGCTCCGAACAGTTTGGAATGGGATCTTCGCAAGAGGTTCTCGGGGAGAAGCCCTCGATCTTGGACAATGGGGTCTTCCCGCATGGACAACGGAGCACCACGTCCGGCGATCGGGGGCAGTGCGGAGGATTGGCGTCCTGCGGATGGCAGCGCTTCTGGCAGAAGTGGACACCGCAGTCGAACGGACGGTTGCAGATCTCTCCGCAACTGAACGAACCGACCCACGTTTCTGGTCCATCTGATGAATCGGCAGGTAGCCGCTGGCTGATAATTTCTTCCTCTGTTGAACTGCACAGGATCTCAGTCTCCACTCTCCCACAGTAGCACTTTGCCTCGACCTTCTCCTCGCAAGCGCCGCAGAGTCCTTCATGGCAGGGCCGTGGACATATGTGCTTGCCACATGGAAGCAAGTCTCCACAGACCTCCCCGCAGCTCCATCCATTCTCGTAGTCAGTTTCGACGCAGCGTTTGGTCGACGAATTCTTCCCGCAGAAGCAATCCTGAGTAGGACCCATGGCCGTGCAGGGTGGACAGGGCCCGGCATGACAGGTCTGGTCGCAGGGATGCGGACATCCCTTGCGGGGCCGGGAGCAAGTCTGGCCACAAGAATGGGGAGGCAGGCCAGGCAACGGTCGCGGGTCGACTTCCTTCTCGCACCAGCATGTATACGTCGTTGGACGAACATCCTGGGGCAGGTTGCAACCGGGACAACGCCATTGCCGCGGCGTGGTGTCGTCATCTCCCTGGCGCTGCTGCTGGTCCTGGAAGACGGACCCCTCGTTCTGCGACCACTTTTTGATGCAGCTCAGATGGAAGACGGTCCAGCAGAGCCGGCACGACCACACGCGGGACCTGCGCCCGAGCTCGCTGGTGCAGATGGGGCATTCATAAAGGCCGTTGGCGATGTCTTCATGTATGCGGGTGGCGAGATCGGGGGCAGTTGACTTGGTCGTTACTTTGGGAGGCCGCGTAGCACGAGGCTTGGTGTTGGGTTTCGAAGCAGCGACCGCCTTCTGGCCGTCATCAGCTTGAGAGGGTTGCCCAGGGACAAACTCTGGCACATCTGCCCGTAGCCGGTGCTCCGCATTGCCGTGGTCTACCTGATCGCGATCACCGGTGACAACACTGTCCACGTCTTCACTCGCATTATTTTCCTCCCTTGTCAACTGGCCCCTGAACGTCCGTCCTCCGACATGTGCAGCATTCCTAGTCGTAGTCTGCGTTTCGGACACCCGGTTGCCTTCTGCCCCTCCTCGTCGGTGACCTCTGTGACCCCTCCTTTTCCCTCTCGAGTCCCTGCTCGTAGGATTCTCACGTTGGTTATCTGATTGGGGCAGTTGTTGCGGCGTATCTGGCAACGTCGACGGCGTCTGTGATCGTTCGGAGGACTGCTCGTGGGAGTCATGCTGGGGATTCTGCGTTGTGGATCGAGAGGCGTGGGCTGATCCTCGACCGCGACCTCGACTGTGCCCCCGTGCTCGTCCTCGTCCTCTCCCTCTGCCCTCGTGTGCCATCCTCGGTTGGGGTCGGGGTTCTGGTCGAGTCTCGATCGCGTTCATGATGGCGGTCTGTGTGCGTGTGGGGTACCTTCGCGGGGTATCAAGTAGGTGGGCGTTAATAGTACACTGTAGAAAGCGCGAAGTGTCTTGTTGGAAACCAGTAGCTCAAGGAATAGCGTTTGACAGCTACCTGGTTCTTCAATCTCTCGCCCAAGAAGAGCAATAGCGAAAAGAAAAAAACCAGAAGACTTTCGATTATCGAAACTCGACACCGGCAATGAAGAAAACAAAACCCCAAGGGGCCGGGGAGCAGTAGACGTAGCTCAATCAGCCCATCGATTGAGGGCGCCCGGGGAGGAGAAATAAGCAAACAGGAGCAGATGGCGTACCTAGGTATCCAGGTAGCTATCTACCTACCGAACTGAGTGGCGGAGATCAAGTTTTTGCCGTTCTCGTGCTTTCTCTGCGCGCTGGTTGGCTGGCCGGCCGGGTGGCGGAGCGGACGGGAATTAGTAATTGCCCGTCATCGCGAGTCATCGTAACAGTCGACTCATTGCTGGATTCATCATTGATACTCGATCTGTTGTTGATAACATGATTATTTTTATCTAGTTTTTGACTGTATTGGCTTGTTGTTTTAATTGATTTCGTGTCATCTTTATTACCTCTTGATCTCCCGTACACAGAAACTGAAACGGAAGAAACAGCGAGTTCCCATTTTCTAACGCCAACCAACCTCTGTCGGCGAGTGAATATGTACACGAAAGTAGCTGGTATATACGCGAACTGTGTCGCAGACCCGCGAAGAACGACTTGGCATCCCGTCAGGTCTCAGATGACAAGAATCCGTAGAGTGACGGATAGCAAAAAGTCCGGACTCAATAGCACTTTCGTAAGAGCATTGTAAGGCCTTATTCCAGAAAGAAGAACTGCTTGGCTTGGTATAGGATCCTCTTATAGGAGAAGCAGGGAGCAATATGAGACGAAACAGGAGAAGAAGAGGCTTTAGGGAAAGAAAGTCAAGAAATAAGGGAAAAAATTAAGCGGCCGTATGACCAACAGACTTTTTTCCAGGTGCTCGAGGTTGTAGAAGAAAAATCAGAATCAGGAGCATTCAGCCTTTTCTCGATGGAATTGTCGAATTCATCCCCTTCCGTCCTTCATTTCTGCTCCATTCTGGTCCCCTGTCTGTTGGGATGGCGTTCCTCTGCTCTGTTTTTGGAATTCATACACACATTGCTGAGTACCGGGCGTCCTGGAAGCATAAAGAATGGCTCGATAAGAGAGGATTCTGCGCATATGCGACGGAGACATTGTCATTCCTGGTTCAGTAGGAAGGATTGACTAGATCTAGTCCCATAGTCAGAACGAAAAAAGACAGGGTGAGTCAGTTGTCGAGTGATATGCCCAGTTCTGGGACCAGATGTGTCAACAACGTACGGTATAGGTACTCTGTACAGTACACAAATCGTAGTTATAGATGTACGTATAGATGTACTGTACGTAAGGTGTACCACTTCAAAAGGCTTCCACCATCGCTCCGGATTCCGATCAACACGGCAAGTGGATGCCTGGTGGCCTGGTCGTCCTGCAGTCGATCACCCGATCTACCTTAATTAGGCAGATGATGCTGATGTCGCTGCAGCGATTGAACAGCCGGATTTCCCCCATTTTGTGTTTCTGGAATCGTTCTCAGGCTGAGAGATGCTCACATGACCGTACAAGGGATCCCGCACCAGCATCCGCCGCACTTGCATCCAACGCATCCCATCTGGGCTTGTCCATGGTGGCATTTGCATTCGCAGCCTCCTGGGGCAGATATGGGAGTGGAAGGTGTTGATTCAGGAGCCATTCCAATGTGTTATCAGGCGACTTTCTTGACCTTCTCGTTATGTTCAAGTTCCCAATTGATGAGTGGATGTATGGTTGGCGGACTGGATGATCGCTACAGGCACAGTGCAAACAATCGCAGAACAGACGCGCAAATGAACAGTGGATTGGAGATATAGAAAAGACTTGATAGCGAAGAGGTCTGACTGAATGAATCCATCCAGGAGTTCACTGGATTAAAAACTTGGTGGAATTCGGGTGCCTAGTTGAGGGGCTTGGCGGTGCACCGCCATACAGCATCTCACACGTAGGCACTCGTGCACGACCATATGCTACTTGGAATAATGTCGATGACATGCCAATGACCTCGTAACTGCGATAATACCAAGTCAATTCTGACGAGCCAGATGTCGCAGTGACTGAACGAAAAAAAAAAGTCACTCCAAGCAATCCCATGAATGAATTCTATACTCCGTACACTTCGCTGAGTCTTCCTCCCTGGAAGTTTACTATTTCTGGTATAGCCAATAAGAGGTAATCCGTACTAATGGGTCCTTCCCGCCCCCGCATCCCCTTTATCAATCAGCCGGTGGCGATTCCAGAATATATCTAGTGCAGACGCTTGCTTTTTATAGATGGTTACATGTATGTCTGTACCTAGTGTCCACTGTCTGATCTAAGCGACTAGTTAATTAACTAGAGATTAGCTACGTGCCTAAGACTGAGACTAATGCATGCCTCAGGATTACTGGCCTAGCTGCTGTTAGTGGCTGAGCTCTGTACGGCTGCCTGTTCTGGAAGAAAGAAAAGATCCAACCAGTCTCTATTTTTTTTTCCAGGTTGTGCAAACTCTAGTTAACCAAATAATCTGTAATCAACCTTCACGCTGAGGATCAACGCTGCCAATGAACAGAGATAATGGGACCATATCGACAAGTTAGGTACAGTACATCATGTGTCCATTGCGGACCCCTCCTAGGTTTATATGTGAATTGGTTTCACGCTTGGAAAATCACTTGCAATATGCCCAAACTCAGTAATGGATTCTCTGGATCTATCTATTACATACCTAGTAAATAACCATTGGCTTGCTGCTAAGAAACCCAGATTTAAAGGCACCAGGTATTTTAAAGACTGTTCCTGCTCAAGAAACTTTTCACCAATGCTTGCATCAGAATTTGCGCCGTGGAGCTTGACACTACTGTATTTATTATTGGCTGTATGTAGATTTTTTTTTTGATGAATTTCTCTCTATAGACTATGAGAGTACTAGTGTAGACTCTGCACGAGAAAGACACTGTCACCTTGTATGCAAAGGAAACTCTTGTGTATATGTGCCGTGCAAATGTTTATCACATTCTGGGCTTCAATTCTCAGAAAGCTATCTCACAACAAGGTAAAAATTATTTAAACTTGTGCCCGTCAGGGTTGATCCTAGGTTTGGGCCAATTACATCAATTTATCTGGACACAGGACGCTTGACGCAATTGTAATTATACTTTCTAGAAGCCAGTCAGACGACAGTGTATTTTCGAGCGTGATAATTATTCTACAGACGTCTATCTAGAATACCTACGCATAACTTAACTTGTAGTGCTCCATTTCCGGTTAGTCTCCCGCGGGGTGCCTGTCACTCCTCGACGGGCGTCTGACGCGATTACGCGCTTCTGTCTCAATAGCAACAGCGTCATTTTGCAATCTCGCGGAATCAGAGATGAGTCTGTGCATTCTGGATATCTGATGTCCTCTCCTGCGGAAAACCACGCACGATGAAGCGTGTGGTGACAGGTCAAATTGAGGTTCTCCGTCCCCACCGGCTCAGCCACATTCGAGGTCTCGGCCCTGCCCCTTGATTAACCTTACAGAGTACGGATCCAAGACGAGTTAATACCACAACACAGCACCTGTCCTAGCATTGACCTGCTTCAGCCTTATTCTCGCCGAATTCCCCGTACGGGATAGCGATCTCCTTATGGGAGCTCACCAGAGGCCGCTGGAAGGTGCGAATGGCAGATACAGATCCGCAGTCATCCTACAGTTTCAGCAATGGTAAGCTGCTTGACTTCTGCCCACAGACACATGCGATTCTAGCTGACGCCGCGCAGAACCTGGAAGATAAGACTTTGGAGTCCAATCGCAGCGATGCGCCGATCTATCCCCTCAAGGAGCGCAAGTTCGCGTTCTCGTCAAAGCAGCTCAGCGAGCTCATAGCAAGCAGGGATGTCACCGCCTTCTACGCCCTCGGGGGTCTAGCTGGTCTAGAAAAGGGATTGCGAACCGATCTACAAAGCGGGTTGAGCGTGGATGAGACGGTCCTCGATGGCTTCGATGCCGTCAGCGCGGCAGCCGAGGACGCCGGCTCAACGCGCGTCTTTACGGCAGCGAGACCATCACCATCTGGAGCACGCCGACATGAGCCCTTTGCCGACAGAAAGGATGCCTTTGGGAGCAATAAGTTGCCGAGCAAAAAGGATCCGAATTTCCTCCAGCTCATGTGGATGGCCTACAATGACTATGTCCTCTTCCTGTTGACCGCTGCGGCCATAATATCATTGGGGGTGGGATTGTACCAGACCTTTGCGACGCCGCATGGCCCTGGTAACCCACCTGTCGAGTGGGTTGAAGGCGTGGCGATTCTCGTCGCCATTGTGATCATCGTGATTGTCGGCGCTGGGAACGATTATCAGAAGCAGCTTCAGTTTCGCAAGCTCAACAAGAAAAAAGAGGACCGCCACGTCAGAGTGATCCGCTCAGCGAGGTCACAAGAGATCTCCATCCACGACCTTCGTGTAGGCGATGTGGTGCATCTCGAGCCGGGAGATATAGTCCCGGCTGATGGGGTCTTGATCCAGGGCCATCATATCAGATGTGATGAGTCTTCTGCTACCGGCGAGTCGGACCTTCTTCTCAAGCACTCAGGGGACGAAGTATTCCGTGCTATCAGAGACAACAAAGACGCTCAGAACATGGACCCATTTATCATCTCCGGATCGAAGGTCGCGGAAGGCATTGGGACCTTCCTTGTCGTCGCAACTGGTACCAACTCTAGCTACGGCAAGATCCTCCTATCCCTTGAGGAAGATTCCGGCTTCACGCCATTGCAGGTCAAGCTTAGCAGGCTCGCAAAGCACATTGCCCGCTTGGGCGGGGCAACTGCTGTGATACTATTTATTATCTTGTTTATTAAATTCCTAGCGGGCCTGCATCATAGCACCCAAACTCCTTACCAAAAAGGTCAGCAATTTATCAACATTTTTATTATTGCCCTCACAGTGGTGGTGATTGCTGTCCCGGAAGGTCTTCCTCTTGCTGTAACTCTTGCTCTTGCCTTTGCAACCACCAAGATGCTCAAAGACAATAACCTGGTCCGTCAGTTGCAAGCTTGTGAGACCATGGGCAATGCGACAAATATCTGCTCGGATAAAACCGGCACCCTCACGCAGAACATGATGACCGTGGTGGCTGGCACACTCGGAAGAATCTCTCAATTTCGCGAGGAATCCGCCGTTTCCCATGCTGCTCCTGAGAAGGCTGAAGGGGTCTCGACGGCAGGGTGCGTTCAATCTCTCTCCGCTGATGTCAAGTCCATCATCAAAGAGTCCATTTTGATAAACTCCACGGCGTTCGAAGCAGAGGAAGGAGGCACGCGGTCGTTTACTGGTTCCAAGACCGAGACCGCCCTCCTGACGTTTGCTCGGAACTATCTGGGAATAGGATCGCTCAATGTCGAACGCTCAAATAGGAAGGTCGTCAGGTTATTTCCATTTGACGCCTCCCGCAAGTGCATGGTCACAGTGGTCCAGCTCGACAATGGCAAGTATCGGGCGTATGTGAAGGGGGCATCCGAAATTCTCTTGGAGAAATGTACGAAAATTGTTGAGGATCCAACCATGGGATTGATCGCTGCGCCAATGACCGAAGACACCGTCCAATTTCTGGGCCAAATCATTGCCAGCTATGCATCCCAGTCATTGCGGACGATAAGCCTTGTGTATCGGGACCTTGACAATTGGCCACCAGTTGGAACCAAGGGTAGTGGAGATGATGTTACCTTTGAAGATATCCTCCAGGATCTTGTCTTTTTAGGGGTTATGGGCATCAAAGACCCTCTCCGTGACGGTTCCCGAGATGCGGTGCAGGCTTGTCAAAGGGCTGGCGTAGTCGTTCGCATGGTCACTGGGGACAACATTCTTACAGCCAAAGCCATTGCAGAGGAGTGTGGGATTATATCTAGCCCGGATGATGTTGTATTGGAAGGCCGTGAGTTCAGGCAGCTCAGTGAGTCTCAGCGGGACGAGATTACACCGCGTCTCAAGGTTATTGCAAGGTCCAGCCCGGACGATAAGAGGGAATTGGTGGTGCGGCTAAAAGAGATGGGAGAAACTGTCGCTGTCACTGGTGATGGAACAAATGATGCACTCGCGCTGGGTGCTGCTGACGTTAGCTTTTCTATGGGTATTTCCGGGACGGAGGTCGCCCGAGAGGCGTCATCCATTATCTTGATGGACGATAATTTTACCTCCATAGTCAAGGCAATAATGTGGGGAAGGGCAGTTAATGATGCTGTCAAGAAATTTCTGCAGGTAAGAATCAGTTGTCGCTATCCAGAAAAAAAGAAGAAACACGAGTTGACAGCCATCCTAGTTTCAAATCACCATTACTGTCACCTCCGTCGCGCTTGCCTTTGTCTCTGCAGTCGCAAATCCATCAGAGCAGCCCGTCCTGACTGCAGTCCAGCTGATGTGGGTTAATCTCTTCCAAGACACGTTGGCCGCGCTGGCGCTGGCCACCGATCCTCCTCCGCAGCGGATCCTAGACCGAAAGCCCGAACCCAAATCCACGCCTCTCATCACGGTGTCAATGTGGAAGATGATCATCGGACAGTCAGTCTACCAGCTGGCCGTCACGCTGGTGCTGTACTTTGGCGGCGCGGCGATCTTTTCATACGACAGCGCCTACGAGCGGAAACAGCTCGAGACAGCCGTCTTCAACACGTACGTGTGGATGCAGATCTTCAACATGTACAACAACCGCCAGCTAGAGAAGAGCTTCAACGTCTTCGAGGGCATCACGCGCAACTGGCTGTTCGTCGCCGTCAGCCTGGTCATGATCGGCGGGCAGGTCCTGATCATCTTTGTCGGCGGAGAGGCTTTCTCCGTCGTGCCGCTCACGGGCGCCCAGTGGGGGTACTGTCTGATCCTAGGCGCGCTGTCTATCGTCGTCGGCTGCGTCATCCGCCTGATACCGGATGGGCCGGTGGAGAGGGTATTCGAGTCGCTGGTCGGAGGGGGGAAGCGATTAGTTGACGTTTTTAATGTTCGCAGAAGAGAGGGAAGTGAATAAATCTCCCTATAGAGAGAAACGCTTTACTATCCTCGGGCTATTCATGATAAATTAATAGACCAATTAATCAACCAATTAATTAATTAGACATCGATCGGGTGATTCTTGTATGAACATGAATGTGAATAAGCATAGAGCATAGAGCATACCAAATCACGCTCCTTTTTTTTAATAATTTTTGTTTCAGCGCAAATAGATTTCCTATACCTCCCTTAGGATGATCTATACCTATTTTATTCTGTTCTCTTCTCTTCTATTCTATTCTATTCTGACTAACTACCTAGTCAGATTCGAATGCCCGTGAGAAAATGTAAACTATACTTCCGGAAGTATACTTCTCCAAGTTCTGAGTTGGATGGAGATTGATTTTCTGAGTGTCTGTCACGGTTCAACTAACCATTTGTTTACATATTTGTTTTTTTTACGGAGAGTTCTTTCTTCTTTTTTTTTTCGCTTGTTCTTTTCTTCTCTTTTTTTTTCTTTTTCTTTTTCTTTTCTTTTTATGTCTAGAGTACGCCACCAACTAACCAAACTAAAACAATAAATTTTGTAGTCAGCTACCTATCTGTCCATGGAAGGGCCAGGATTCTTATAACCTTACAAGGAAGCAAAGTAAGCAAAATAAACAGGTAAATAAATAGATAAGTAAGTAAGTAAGCAAGTAAGCAAGTAAGCAAGTAAGTAAACAAACAGGTCGACAGTATTATTAATTATTAGTCCATTCATTCATTCATTCATTCATTCTCAAGTCGACAAGAACAATGACAACGACGACAACAACGACCAGTTTTCTTTCTAATTTCACTGCTCACTGCTCATATCGATTCGAAATCGTTCATGGGAACTGGGGACATATATATATATATTTATTTATATATATAGAAAGAGAGAGCCATTTGTTTTCGCTCGTTTCAGCGAGGAAGAAATCGTAAATAATAATAGTCTTACGAAGGGCTGACAGATAGACAAGGAAAAGAAAGGATATTTACTTTCTTGTTTTCTTACTTCTCTACAAGGAATATATACACACACACATACATACATACATACATAAAAGGAGAGATATGGAGATAATATATACAGCAATAAATAAAGTCAAATATTATGCACATTGGAAGTATTGTTATTATTCTTAGATTAGATTAGCTATTATCTATTAGCTATTAGCGAGTACCTAACTAATTAACGACTCCAAGCAACCCTTTCTCCCTCTCCCTCTCTTGTTTATTCCTCTATTCCCTCTATTCCCTCTATTCCATCCATCATCTATTTGTCCATGATAGCAATCCTGTAGCTAGCTCGCTCTTTCTGTGTGTATGTATGTACAGCACACGCATTTGCTTTTTTTTTCGAGCAAATTCCATTCAAGCAAGATTTGTAATTATTTGTACAGTCAGTAAAAAAACAAAAGCGCAAGTGAATATAAGCGAAGGAAAAAGGAAAAAAAATACTATCTATCTATCTATATAGAATTAATCATGTCATATGTCATACATTCACATCTCCGTTTCCATTGGATGCCACCGGCTCCATGGATGGCCATGGCCACGCTGCAACGCTGCCTGCAATGACACCCGCCATTGCGGCTGCGGATTGCACGGCTGACTTGGATGGTTGTCTCCAGGCAAGGTCCTCGCTTGAGGGAGGCTCGAGAAGTGGTGATTCGGGATCGTCTTGCGAACGAGTGGGATCTGTGTCGCGGAACAGATGATTGAGGCGACGACGGTACTGCCGCTTGAATTCCCGCCACCTGAAGCGGCCACGGTAGCGATGGCCCAGTTCGCTGCGGAACGCAAGTTCCTCGCGAATGACTTCGCAGGCTTCGTACCAATTGGAAGGTCCGTCACGAGGAACATGCTCACGCGGCCCGAGATGCTGTCCGAATCGAACAGGCAGCATCGCGCGGATGAAGTTGTTCGGAATGAGACGGATGACAACCCCGACGAGCAGACTGATTGCCCCTAACGCGAGAGAAATTCCCCATTCGAGGCCGTTAAGCCGCATCGCCGAAAGGGCACTGCCCCCGAAAGATATGATGATCACTTGCCCCGCGATCGTGATGAGGTTGATGCCGATGAAATACCAGTTCCGGTGGATGCCCTCGAACACGTTGAGCTTGTTGTCGAGACGGCGGTTGCTATCCGGTAATCAGCCCGAGTCCATCTCAGAAGGGGGCTGTTGACTTACTTGTACTGATTGAAAAACTGCATCCAAACGTACGTGTTGAAAACTAACGTTTCCAGCCGATCCTTGGCCGACCCCGTGTAGCCGAGGATAGCATCACCAGCAAAATTCAGCACCAAGGTGATGATCAACTGATAGATAGATTGCCCGATGATCATCTTCCACATGGTCAGCGACACCAACGGCGCCGACCTTGGCTCCGGTTTCCGATCGAGAATGCCCGGTGATGGCGGGTCAGTCGCTAATGCCAGTGCAGCGAATGTATCCATGATGAGATTCACCCAGAGAAGCTGAACCGGCGTCAGGATAGACTCCTCTTTCTCGCTGGTTATTGCAGACACGAAAGTGAGGGTCACGGCCGTTACATTGACCGTCAGTTGGAACTGCACAGATATTAGCCTAGACACAAAAACAAAAAGCTAGGCAAAGTAACCTACCTGTAGGAACTTCTTGATCGCATCGTTCACCGCTCGTCCCCATTCGATCGCTTTCACAATAGACGAGAAGTTGTCATCCATCAGGATGATCGAGGATGCTTCTTTGGCAACCCCCGTACCAGATATGCCCATAGAGAACCCGACATCTGCTGCCCTCAAAGCTGGCCCATCATTAGTTCCATCTCCCGTAACGGCCACAATCTCGCCGAGCGCCTTCAATCTCTTCACCAGAATTTTCTTGTCTTCGGGCGTCGATCGAGCCAGGACCTGCAGCCGGGGAATGATTTGGTCCATTTCTGAGGTCGACAGTTTCCGAAAGCTTGCTCCCTCCATCGCAAGCCCGTCCGGATCAAGGATACCACATTTCGCCGCGACAGCCTTTGCGGTTGCGAGGTTGTCTCCTGTAACCATTCTCACTGTCACGCCGGCACGCTGGCATTTGGCCACTGCCTCGTCAACCCCCGGACGGAGAGGGTCCTGAATGCCGAAAATGCCGATGAATGCCAAGTCTCCCAAGACGTCTTCCACGAAGACCTGCGTCAGATCGCCGTCAACGGTACGGGCACCAGGAGGAGGCCAGCACTGGAAATCGCGGTAAGCGAGGCCAATTGTTCGGAGAGAGTGGCTGCTGTATCGCTCGATAGTATCAATCAATAGCTCGCGATTCTCTCCTATGAGGACGCTTCCAAGTCTATCGGTCACGTCCGCGATAACCCGGGTGCTCTTGTCCAGTAGAATCTCAGGAGCCCCCTTGACGTACATCCGGAAATTCCCATTGCCGAGTTTCACTATAGATGCCATATACTTTCTGCTGGAATCAAATGGCACGATTTGGATGATGTGGGCATTTGCACGTTCCTCAGCAACTGCCCCAATACCCAGGCGTTCCTTCGCAAAGGACAAAAGCGCAGTCTCTGTTTTGGAGCCGATAAAGGCTGGCTTTCCGTCCTCTTCGCCTTCAAATGCCGTCGAATTGATGACAATACACTGCGAGATGAGATGTCGCACCTCTTTGGCAAGCAGTGACACGAATTTGCTGGCCGGCAGGGTAGCCATTCTGGACGTCTCCTGCCCGTCGTTCTCTCGACTGTCAGCCGGATCTCCAAGTTGGTGCGTCGTTCCAACCAGCCCTGCGACTACAGTCATCTTGTTCATCGTGATCGTTCCGGTCTTGTCGCAGCATACGCTGGTCGCATTGCCCATAGTTTCGCAAGAACTGAGAATCCTCACGAGGTTGTTATCCTTCAACATTCTCGTCACAGCGATGGCAAGCGCAAGGGTGACCGCCAATGGCAATCCCTCAGGGACCGCAATAACAACAACTGTGATAGAAACAATCACAATACGTAGGAAGGTCTGGCCCATGTCAAATGGCAACTCGACGTTGGTGCGGAGGTCGAAAAGGAATTTGAGAAATAGAACGCAGAATAGGATAATAGCCACAGAAATGCCAGCTGTAGCGATCTGTTCAGCAACGACTGTTAGTCTCTGTTGTAGTGGAGTCTCTTCAGTATCCTCAGCCAGAGACATCATCAGCCGCCCATAAGTGCTGCGGACACCAACACCGGTGACCATGTACGTGCCCACACCCTCGAGCACCTTGCTTCCAGACAGAATAAACGGGTCGAGCTTGTCCACATGGACCCCTGATTCAATTCGGGCCATAATCTCATCCCCAGGAGTCTTCTTCATCTGTTCGGACTCGCCAGTGGCGGACGATTCGTCGCATCGGATATTATGGCCAGAAACGCAGACACCGTCCGCAGGGACCAAGTCGCCGGGTTCCAAATGCAGAATATCACCGACAACCACGTCATACACCGAAATCTCCAACGATTTTCCTGATCGAATCGCCTTGACGAGACGGTCTTCCTTCTATACCCCATGTCAGCTGTGCCACAAGCTCTATATAAGACATGCTTACCTTTTCATTGAGCTTTGCAAATTGCCTTTCCTTCTGGTAGTCATTCAGCGCTCCGGCAATGACGACGATCGCAACAGCTACCATGATCGTGACGCTCTCGACCCATTCCACTTTTGGCTGTCCTGGTTCATGCGGCCGGCCAAATGTTTGATACAAGCCCAATCCAAGTGAGATGGTCGCGACAGTCACCAGCAGGATCAAAACCTTGTCATTGAAAGCAATCCACATCAGCTGGAAGATACTCTTGGTGCCACTCTCCGGGAGGCGATTAACGCCGAAGACACGTCTCCTTTCAGCATGTGGGACAGCGCCTGTACGAGGGGCTGATCCAGATTGATCGCCGGCAACAGCGTCATTCAACGTTGTCTCATCGCGACTAAGGCCAGAGGAACAGTCGGTCCGCAGTAGCGCCGCAAGGCCTTGTGTGCCACCTAGAGCATGGAAATCCGCAAGGCTCCTCCACTCAAGCATCTGCTCAAGCGCTTCCGGTGCGATCGCAAACGGACCGTTATCATTATCGAATCCGAAGCTCCCTGGTCCTCCGTCTCCTGTCTTCCAGGATCCCCCGTTCTGGTGCGACGAAACAAGCACCGCAGTGTTTGCCGAAGAGCTACAGCAGCGGCTGTGGTCTAAGGATGACGACGTCGGAGTAAGGGTCTCGCCTCCATAGGATAATGGAGAATGAGGACGGGAACCGATAGAAGACGCTCTCGACCGACTGCCCGGGACGGCGAGCACATTTGGAGATCCTTGCGACCGCAACCTATCCGCAGACACAGGCTCAAAATGCACGGGCGACGGAGAGTTGCTGGAACTAGGAGGCTCCTGATCTCCCTAAGAAAGCAAACAGCAGAAAAAGGTCAGACAGCGTCAGGCAGAAGAAGACGTGTGTGGAATGGAACTCACGGCAGCCGTGTCGATAGTAATGGTTGGAGCGCGCGGTCGGCTGCACATTCCCCGCGATGGGTCCGAACCACTGTTGGCGAACGCCATCATGAAGGAGTGAAACGCTGGCGCGGCAGCCAGGACATCATCTCCTCAGTCTGTATTGAGACTAACTTGAAGGTTGCTCTTGTTAGACCTTGCAAGAAAGGCTGTGCAACTGCGGAATCAACGTGACCCACTAGTAAACTTAGAGCTCAAATCGGGCAAGTTCCGAATTCACCAGGCGAGCTGCAGCCTGCATCAGGCTTCACTGGAAAGGAATTGGCGGCCTGTCATTTGGATTTTTCATTTTCTCTCATCTCTTTCTTTTCTCTCTCCTCTCCTTTTGCTTTTTTGTTGTTGTTTAATTACCATGTACGGAGCTCCGCTGAACCACCGCAACCATTGGCTAGCGCAGAAAGCTGGTTGTATGGAACTATATTTACGGCACGAGCAATCAACGACACTGACCAGTGTGTAGAATCAATATTTTTATCTATTAGACTATTCTATAATTATTATATTCGATAGAAATATCAACCACATTGGCCAGCCACAATGGCTTTCCGAGTAGTACCTGCTACCCCAAGGTCTAAACCCATCTGTTCCTTTCTAGCGTGACTGAACTGGGCTATGTCATCACCCAAAAGTCCTGGGCGTTGAAGGTCTGAAATGTCCACCTCAGTCAGTATGTTCAGCAAGTAGCGAGTCGCATCCCAACATGGTCATCCAGGTAGTCATCCCGGGCAGATCACATTCATGGTGGATGGAGAACTAGTTCTTGCCTACATCGCCAATGCGTCAACGTCTGGTTTGACGTAGAACCCAATGGCAATCATGATATACCTAAAATTAAGCACTCGTTAGATTTGCCAAGCAGGGCGGGGAAAAAAAGGGGGGGGGGGG